CGATAAACAAACCTGTCCCCATCGAGCGAAGCCATCAGCCTAGGACCTTCATCTTCTTTTTCTTCTTGCCCTCCTCGCCCTTTTTGGCGCCTTTCTGGAAATCGCGCCAACTCCCTATTCGCTGTTCTCTAGTTTCCTCCCAGTCTTTCTCATGGTCACGCTTTCGCTTTCTCTCCTCCAACTGCGCGTCCTCTTTCGCCTTCTCACGACCCTCTTCTTGCATTCTCGCCTTCATCTGTCGCCGCCTCCGAGCCTCTGCTTCTACCAGTACCTCGACCGTCTTTTTTCGCCATTCCTGCTTGAATTCCTCTGTTTTTAGCTCCTCAGAGTCCACAGTGTACTTGTGCTGTCTGATCAACAGTTGTCTTGCATCTGCGATGCATTCATCAAGGTGCTGACGTTGCTTCTCATCCAGCAATGCAGTTTGTGCTTTCTTGAGCCGGTCAAAGGCTTCCGGGGCCGAAGGATTTTTGGTCTTGTCCGGGTGAATTAGTAAAGACTTCTTGCGATAAACGACCTTGATGTCTGATTCAGGTACTCCGGGTTGGAGGTCTAGTACTGCGTAGCTGCGAATGGGTCAACGGCTGACAAGCGGACCAGGAATGGCACAAAACTTACGCATCGAGTCTAAAGGCATTGAGGATACGGTCGATCTCTGCGTCCTGTAACGGATGTCAGCCAAATATTCCTTACGTAGGTCAAGAACACACACCTTGTCATATTCCTTCGCTTCTTTCTCAAGTACATCGAGAGCATCGGACTCATCATTAGCCATGGCGGGCGGATAGTATGTAGCTTACCGATGACTATCAGGATCTTCACCTCTTGGTGACAATGTATGTGTCAAAAGCGAGCGACTTTATGAAAGGGGGAAGAAATTTTGCCCAAGGCACGGAATGCTGATCAGGCGCAGTTACAGTTGTAATTACTTCGTTGGGAACAAGGTGCGACAATGGCGCAGAGACAGCAATACAACAGGACAAGGCGCCACCAGACGCTCCTCCGCTCTGCTTGATAAGGAAGCTGTTCCGACAAGGGCTGCCGAAGTTCTCCCGTTTATCGATAACACATCTCATCACGTGACCACAAAATCATTTGAGACGCAGCCAGTCCTCGCAGAAATTCATTCGTCAATTGTCCCAGCCAAAGTTTTCACATTGCTGCGATGGGGTCCCAGGGGTATCGGAGAGGGACAAAGGGCCCGAGGAAAGATTTTCAGAGGCCTAGGGCACTCAAACGTAAACGAGAAGAGGAAGATCTCGAGGCCCTCGCTCAACGGGTCGCCAACTTCGATCCAAAATCTGCACCTCCACCAGAGAACTTCGTCGACCTCCCACTATGTCAAGCGACTCAAGACGGTCTCGCAGCTTCTCACTTCAAAATCTTGACGACCATCCAGAGCAGGACCATCCCGCTGGCATTGCAGGGTGCGGATATCCTGGGCGCAGCAAAAACGGGCTCGGGGAAGACACTGGCATTTCTGGTACCTGTCCTAGAGAACTTGTACCGCAAAAGATGGACCGAATACGATGGCCTGGGGGCGCTGATACTCTCTCCCACCCGAGAATTGGCCATTCAGATCTTTGAGGTACTGCGGAAAGTTGGCCGCAACCACACTTTCTCTGCTGGTTTGGTGATCGGGGGCAAAAGTCTACAGGAGGAGAGAGAGCGACTGGGACGTATGAACATTCTGGTTGCCACGCCTGGGAGAATGCTACAGCACATGGATCAGACGGCGGAATTGGACATTGGAAATTTACAGATGCTGATATTGGACGAGGCGGACAGAATCATGGACATGGGGTTCAAGCAGACCATCGACGCTCTCCTCGAGCATCTTCCACGGGACAGGCAAACTCTCATGTTCAGCGCCACCCAGACCAAGAAGGTCTCTGATCTTGCCAGACTGAATCTGAAAGACCCCGAATTTGTCTCCGTCCACGAAGCCGCCGATAGCGCCACGCCCACGTCTCTACAACAGAACTATGTCGTCACTCCGCTGGCAGATAAGCTCGATACCTTGTGGTCATTCATTCGTGCAAACGTCAAAAAGAAAATCTTGGTCTTCTTAAGCAGCGGCAAGCAGGTTCGATTTGTGTACGAAGCCTTCCGACACCTTCAGCCTGGTATTCCCTTGCTTCACCTGCATGGGCGGCAAAAACAGACAGCGCGGGTTGAGATCACCACGAAATACTCAAACAGTAAATACGTGTGCTTGTTCTCAACAGATGTGGCTGCTCGGGGATTGGACTTTCCTGCTGTTGACTGGGTTGTCCAGGTCGACTGTCCGGAAGACGCTGACACTTATATTCACCGAGTCGGGCGAACGGCAAGGTTCGAGCATGACGGCCGGGCTGTTTTATTCCTTGACCCGAGCGAAGAAGACGGGATGCTGAATGCGCTAGCGAAAAAGAAAGTCAGCCTGGAGAAGATCAATGTACGGCAAAAGAAAATGCAGCAAACCATTCGGAACCAGTTGCAGAATATGTGTTTCAAGGATCCCGAATTAAAGCACTTGGGACAGAAAGCCTTCATCAGCTACGTGCGCAGTGTCCACGTTCAGAAGGATAAGGAGACATTCAACCTGAAAAACCTCGACTTGGAAGCCTTTGCGGCGAGCTTAGGACTTCCTGGTGCACCCCGCGTCAAATTTGTCAAGGGAGAGGATGCAAAGGCCAAGAAAAATGCCCCGAGACAACTCCTGGCTGCCCTGGAGTCGAGTAGCGACGAGAGTGATGCTGAAGGCGAGGCGCGGTCGAAACAAAAACGGAACGGGGGTGTCAGGACGAAGTACGACCGCATGTTTGAGCGGCGCAACCAGGACGTCTTAGCCGAGCATTACACGAAACTGATTGAAGACGACGAGGAAGACAACAGCAGCGACGACGATGACGAAAGAATCAAGGCAGAAAACAAGGCCACTCCCAGTGACGAAGTGGACGATTTTCTCTCAGTGAAACGCCGCTTCGTTGCCGGCGACTCAGATCTCGACCAGGATAGCGACAGCAACGACATCGACTCTTCCTCAGCCAAAGGAAACTCGGACTCCAGAACTTCTCTCGAACTAAAAAGCATTAAACTCTCCACCAACCCAGACGCTCCGGCCCTCAAAATCGACTCGCACCGGCGCGAGAAGCTGCTCGCCTCGAAGAAAAAGCTGCTCAAGTACCGCGGGAGGGGGGCGCACCTCACGTTCGACTCGGACAGCGACACGCCCAAGGACAAGAAAGCGTACCGCGACGAAAGCGAGTTCACGGCGGCCGAGGAGGAGAGACGGGCGTTCCTGGAGCGCGAGGCCGAGAGGGCGAGGGAGGCGGATGCAGTCGACAAGGAGATCGCGAAGGGCAAGAGGCGCGAGAAGAAGGAGAAACGGAAGGAGAGAGAGAGACAGCAGCAGCAACAGCAGCGCATGGAGTCTACTAGGGACGGAGATGTCGAGGGAGACGGTGTCCAACTCGTTCCGTATGAGGGTGATCTCGATGTCGACGCAGAAGACGATGGACCTCTTCGACTTCACCCCTCTGCCGAACCTGAACCTGAACCCAAACCGAAACGCCAGAGGAAATGGTTCCAAGACTCGCCGTCCGCGTCTGACAACGACGATGAGCACAACAATCGGAAGAAAAAGACCAAACGCCCAAAGAAAAACAACCGCGGCACCACCGCGCGGCAGCAGCAGCCACAGACGCTGGAGGATCTCGAGGCTTTGGCCACTGGTCTTCTCGCGACTTCTGGGTAGGAGGAACGCGGAGGAGAGAGCTCAGCGAGTACCCATGTGTGTGCTTGGATATATATTTTGTGTGCTGTGCTGTGTTGTACTTCTCGCTCCCATCGGCGTTTTCTATACCTACCAGGGTGAAGATTGAAGTGAAGCCATATTCTGTTCATATCACAACGAATGAAAAAAGAAAAACCCGCTACGCAACCTTTATGGTTTTTCAAAATGGAAAATTAAATCTGTTTCTGCTTTCTTCATGTGCCCGCCAGCGAGCGGATTAAGCCCCGTTTTGCCCGTTCCCATCATTGTTCGTCCCAATTAAAAAGAGGCCGTTACAATCGTATTTCATTCAATCCGACAAAAAGGCCCAACAACAACAACAACAACAACAACAACAACAACAACAACCAATGTTCCCATCCCAACGACTCTGCGTACCCAGGGATGAGCCCATGCCGTGCCGTGTTCCCGAGTCGCCAAATACCCTGTTTTATCATCATTATCGGGTTCTTTCGCCACGATGTATCCGTCAATCGACACATGGGCCGAGATCTCGTTCAGGGTGACGGTCGGTCGAAGCATCCCGTCTCCCAAAATCGGTGTTTTGACGGACTTCTCCCTTGCGATTTACTCGAGATTCATTGGGTTTGGCGACTGTTCCAGTTTGAGAATGTCTTCTTGTGAGGCTATGTACAAATAACAATCCTGCCACAAAGGAAAAAGCTCGTGGATCTTTGCTCGTTGCATCCGGGACATCGTATGGTCACAAAAGATCCCATCGACTGGGCTTCATGGCATACTAGGCGGGCTGGCCTCGCGATGCTGACCGATTTCATGTAGATTCTATCTTGTACTGTTGACCGATTTGTGTATAGATCGGGTATCGAAAAAGCATCGATATGAGATTCGTTGCGTTCCGGGGTCGAAAAAATCGACTTTGGACGCCGCCCGACTTGGTGTGTCTCGTTGAAATTATCCCTCTTTTCCGAAAAGGGGCACGTAGATTTTCTTCTGCCGTTGCTCATTCTCTTTGCGTCCGTTAGAAAAGGTACAAATCCGTCCCCGTGTCCTGCACGGAGCATTTTTGTACCCGATGAAGAATAGTTGTACAGAAAATTTGAAAATTGTGACAAAACAGAATGATTATGCTCCAGCTTTACCACCCAGGTGCTCGTTGCTTCATTCGACAAAGGAAAGGGTCTCGTATGATATGCGCGATCATGGCGATGGTGATTCTTGTGCGTGTCTCGGTCCCGTCGTACACGTAGGGGGGTCGTCCTGATCATTCATTTCGGGGACCTAGGATGCCCTGGATGTCCATCTTCGGTCTCTTTGGATCTGGCCCTTGTGTCCCTTCATTTCTGCTTCCCTGCTGTCCTCGTGGGTTCGGGAGAGTTTGTTGTGGAAACTGCTGCACGATCGCTGGGTCGATCGGACCTTGAGGTGCTGGTAGGATCGGTGGTAGCTGAAGACCGGAGGATGTGCTCATGGGGGGCAGCTGTTCGGAGGACAAGGATGATGAAGGGCGTGGAAAGATAGGGTTCGAAGGGTAATATCCATGATGTCCTACTTGCTGTTGCTGGGACGGGTAGTTGTAGCTACTGGCATACCCTAGCGTTCGGAAGGCTGATTCTGGTTGAGAAGGGCTGTAGGACGAGGAGACCTGTCCGGGCATTGGAGCCATGCTGCCATGGTATTGCCTTGACGAGGCAGGCACAAATGGCCCTTCTGCCATTGCCAGACTCGGTGATATCGATGCCGGGCCGTGTAAAGTGAAGGCTGGTGATCTTGGCTGCCCCAACCGAGGTGTTGTTGCAGTATACGGCCTCAGAGGTGGATATCCTGGTGCTGCGGCATACATTGACGGATCCCCGAATCTCCTCGGGGCTTCTCCTAGACGTCCGGACAAAGGAGTCAGTGTTGCCTCAAACTGCCGTCTTGAAGAAGCGTCGTCTGGTTTCAACGGTGGCCGGCCTCTCTTCTTGTGCTCGACATCTTTGCAGGAGTCCTAGAGAAATAGTCATCAGCTCAGTTCACCAGACAGGGAAATCCCACAATCTGCGCACCTCTTTACCGCTCTGTACACATCTCCGACATGGGCGACTGCTGTCACACCGCAGATGCTTCTTCTTGCAATTCACACAAGCCGATGCGACGTGCGCCTTAGGTTTTCGAGTAGCGCGTGGTGAAACAGGACTCAGTGCCAACCGTGGCGAAGGTCCGCCAAAGGATGTCGGTGGTAAACTCGACGCAGATTGATATGGAGCAGGGGGTAGCGGATAGTTCAGCGCATACGGCCCTGGTTGCACGGCGAGTTCGGTAATGGTCTCCCCACCTCTTGATACCGCACTTGGCCGAGGGACAGCGATGTCCAACGGCGCTACAGGGGGAGCAACTGCGGCGGCCGTCGTGGTGACTGTTGATGTTGTAGTTGGAGGAGAGTAGGATCGAGATCGCTTTCTTCTTCGACCGGCGATCTGGGCAGGTTCAGCAGGAGGTTCCGGTGGAGGAGAACCGGACATGGGAGGGGTGGGGAGAGATGCCCAGATGGGCGCGGCGACTGGCTTCGGCAGAGTGAGATGCTCTATGGTGAATCTTGAGTTGTCGAGGCTGGACCGGTGTTTCTTGAAGGACGGACAAAGAGCGAACTGAGGTGGGCGTGAATGCTGCATCAGGTTCGTTTCCCACGAAGCTCGTTCGAAGATCGCATAGACTGCCCGTTTTCCCTTTTCCCCTTTCCCTTTTCCCGTGCACAGCTTTTCGTTGACGGAACGATGGCCCCGGTGACTGCAATGCCGCTTCTCCTTCAAATGTCCGTGCTCAGATGTCGTTTCCGAATTCCAAAGTGACTCTGCCTCGCTCAACCAGGTACCGAATGTACCTCCGACGCTTACTTAGATGTCCGTCGCGAGTGCTTTGGGCCCGAGTCAGTGTACTGCGTCAATACCCAATGGACTGAAGGGGAAACTGGACACAACATATCCACCAGAGTTGTGTTGCCTACCTGCTCAAGTTTGGTCAGATTCCCTCCTGGCCCCCAATTTGATATGCAACCAATATTAACCAAACAGAATTATTCCAAGTAAAGATGCCTGATGTCGAGGGTTCAAACGATTGAACAGAAGTTGGGAGGTCGTCAAACTCGGGCAAATCCAAGAGGCACAGCGCGCCAGCTGCACCAGAGCGAATCACTGTGCGTCAAATCGAGAAAGGAACGTCTGGACTCAGTGGTCCGCGGTCCACGATGAGTTCAAGTAGGAAAGAATCAAGATTCGGTGGATATGATCCGGAAGTCATGACAGGGCCAGAGAACCGAACTCAATTGTCAGAGACGCGGGCCAATGCGGTCGTAGACGTGTTCGTCTGTTATGCAAGGGCAGCCGCCTCTGGGCCACCCAGAGACAAAGCGGGAACCTGAGCAGCAGACAAATTTCCTCATGTTCGTGAACCGTGACGGCGATCTGCTCTATTGAGAGGCAGTAGACGGAGTACCTGACCCAATAGTCCCGGTTAACAGCTCCACCCTGGTATGGATACGAAGCCCACTCCTCATGAGATCCAGGGATCCAGGAAGCCGAGAAGCTGAAAAAGGTCTGCATTAGCTTTTGCGTCGGAGCGGACACTTGGCCCCGTCTTCCGCTGTCAATTGCGACATTCTATAATCCCGCAGGGTTGTGTGGACAATGTTTCGCCGCCCGTCGCGAGAGCCACGGTGCCATGGTGTGCATGTCTAGGTCGGTGGCACCAGATAGTGGTGTCTCGGCAAGCCAGCGACGCGATGGCACCAGCCACAATCCGCCCCCCAGGCAGGCGGGGAACATGAGGCCAGCTGGAACAAAATGGGCTTTGCCCTGGGTGGTAAGCACTGCCTGATTTTGCTCCAAGAGGTTTCGAGACGCACAGGGCAAGGCGCAAAAAGGGTGGCCAACGTAACAAGCACTCAAAAAGAATACTTGGACAAGTAAGCTTCGCCCAGTCCGAATGGATTGTCATGGGAAATTCCTTGACCTGGGTTGTGCTCTGCAGAAGTCGCGGAAGAAAACACTCTGGCCTGCCAATCGAGAGCCTTCTTTGCCCCAATTCCCCCAGAAGGTTCAGGGCTCAAGGTTCTCACCATTGGGCGGACAGAGCCTGAATTGGGTAAAGCAATTGGGCAAGGCCGGCCGTTGAGAACGGAGCCTTGATAGCAACGTCGATTGGCGACAGGTTCGCAAACATGGAGAAACAGGGGAGAGACAAGACCAGACGGCTTCTGGCCGAAACGACCGAATCATTGACAGGCATTGCCATGATGCAACAGGAGAGGGTAAAGCCTTTTGGCCCCCCCAAGAGATCCAGGCTGGACTTGGGCTGGCAGGATTTTTGCCTTGTTTCGAGGAAGTAGGAAGTAGTTCGCCTACCAGTGGCCGCGATTCAGCCAGGGGTATTCAAACCAGCGTCCAAAGGGGTAAAGACTGAGCAGCAATGCTCGCATGGTCGGGGATCTGATGTCGTTCTGCCAATCTCAAGGTGTTGACTATCGGGCTGCCTTTGGCCAGAAATAGTCACAGCTGTACCACCCGATGACGAGCTACGAACCTCCGCGGTGGGCTCCCAAGTCCCACAAATCCTACTGACAAGTTGGGGAGTCACTGAGACCTCTTCTCACTTCTTTGTTTATTGTTGTTTTGGTGTCAATCGGGCTCTGGCTTTTAGGCATCCGAGGCGGGGCCCGATAGTGGGTTCAATAATGATTGTTGGGTCTTTCATTCTTCTGACCATCGTCATATTCTTCGTCTTTCTTCAGCCACTGCATTTCCAGCATGTAGCAGGGGGGGCCCCAGACCGAAGGAATAGACGCAATCGATAAGAGAATCTTGGTTCGATTTTTCCTTCGTAGGATGTCGAAATGAGTTGCCCCTGGACTTCTTCTGTCTCTTTTCCTTCCCGGGAGATGCCGCCCCAAAAGTCCTACCTACACCCCCAGGCAAGCTGACGTCGTCTCGGAAAGCAAGTGATGTTGGCTTTGCAGGCCCCTGTGCGTCCGGGTGGCTAATGCTGCCCGGATCTCGGTCTTGTTTCTGCCACAGATACTCGAGGGTTTCATCGCTTGTATTTGCCCTTGATGTCGGCTTTGCTACAAGTTGGGCCGTTGATTGGATATCTGCGCCAATCTTCAGTGGTGGCCACTGTCGGTGGCCCAGAATGCCATGTCCAAGATGCTTCAGCCAGACCAGGGGTTTCGGATCAATACCGATGGACCCGGAAGTCTGCGAGGAATCTCCTGTTGGTTGAGACACACTGCGCTGGTTTCTCGCTTGGTGGGAATCCTCCGGCTGGGCTGTTTATGAACTCCCTTTTTGGGACTCCCAGGAGGAAGACAGGGCACCCTCGTACGAGTTCTGTATGAGTATGTGCTAGGCCATGTGGGATATATCCTCCTGGTCCTGGAGCAGGGTTCCATAAATAATTTGGACACGGTAGTAGGCGAATGACCGTCGCGTGCCCCCATTGGGTTGAGAGACAAGTTGACAGGCCTTCACCAATCAGCCAAGTCCCATTATTGTCTACTGAGTCCAGCGAGTACATGTTCAATATTGCAGCTCGTACACGGTCCTCGTGCCGTTGCTAGTGCTGGTAGGAATGATGGTACTAAGCCGGGGCGGAGGTCATCCTTGTTTGGTTTTCTGCTCATTCTGTGGGAAGCGGTCATCTCTAGACCCTGCCCACCATGACAGTGTCGGGGTTGACATGGCATATCCGGGAATGTATAAGGACCCCCTGGCATTGCACTCTCAAGCATGTCAGCCAACTGACGTCTCTCTGCACTTGCGTGGATGTACCAAGTGTGCCTAAAGGGGACTGGCTGCCACAAGCATCAACCCGGGTGTTTTCAATTCGGTCATCTTATTTTGTGTTCAATAGTTAGAGTGTTGGAGAACACCCGTCGATCAAGGCACTATTGGTTTCTGAAAGGAGGAGAGATCGTCGTTAAGCTTCCCACTCCAGGCCGGGCGCACCAGGTTTTCCGAGGATGGCGCCTCAAAAGCCTAATTAGGATCGATGACGGCGGACAAGCGAGAAAGAGGCTCGATCCGCCAGGGTACATTTCGGGTCGTCAATTATTCTCCGCAAAAGTTCCGTCGAACTTGCGAAAAAGTTGACAAGTTTGTTGCGTCGATCCCGGGTGCTTTTTTCCTTGAGCGACTCCCCTGTGAAAACGGTCCTGACGGAACTCAATTCATGATCCCTACCATACGAGTATGTTCATTAGTCTGTGAGAGCCAATTCCAGCGGGACGAAAATGGGAACTTTGTCTGACTCCCCTGACCCTGTATCTTCCCACGCGGACTGGGTGCCTGGGTACGAGTAATCATACCCCTTTCAGTCCGCGTCGCGTCGTATTCGGTATCATTTGGAGGTTGAGCGGGCTTTCCGCATCCAGTGGTCGGTGTGGCACCGCCGGAGGCTGCACTAGATGCCATTTATTTCCCCTAGTCTTGCGCCACCCAAATCTCAATTCGTGATTTCTTGGGGAAACCCACGTGGCAATCACACCATGTCTGGCTGAGGCTAAGTGTGCTGGGGGCTGCCAATGCTTCTTTTGAGACATCTCAGCTGTGGAAGACCACCTTGCTTCTTTCTCATGAGGCAGTGAAGGAGATTAAAATTTCGAGGCCGCCGGCAAACCGGGAAATTTCTATGCGACAAAAGAAATTCTCCGATGCGAGAGTCTGGTCGTGACGAAGGCGTTCGCTCTCTTTTGCGAGAAGGTTCTTGTTTGATCCGAGAATATCTCAGAAAATCAATCTCCAGGTCGAGGAACGACCTCGCATTGAAGGTTTCGCACCCGTTGAGACCATCCTTCTCCTCAGCTAGGGACTCGTAGGTATGGACCTGATTAATAACACGGCACCAAGTTGCATCTAGCGTTGCCTTTTCTAACCTCCAACAGTGCGGGCTATGGGTATCAATGCCGCGCCAACTCAGCTAATTTGGGGATCCAGATCAAAATAAATGCGTTCACCATGGCCAAGCAATCACGGGTTGAGAGTCAGGACCGTAACAAAGGATGGCATAAGAGGTACTGTACGTGCATTGTGGTGATTGCGTTGAAGGCGTTTTAGGAGAGGTAAACAATACTCGTTTGATCGCGATGACACACCTACCTTTCGATTTCGGAGAAGAGAGACGGCAAGCAGAGTGCGCAGACAGCATTCGAGGTATGGACGAGTGAGTCCACTACCCATGGGAGATGAAGATGAAGTATTACTTCCGTATTTATATTCCAATGTGCGCGATGCTCCTTGCGGCTGCCAAGAAATCAAATGACGACAAATCCCAAAGTGGCATTCAACGTCAACTTGAACCTCACATCAACAACTCGCCCTCCCCCATCAACTTGTCGAATGACGAATCCATCAACGTTTACGCTCACATTACTTGTGGTCAGAGCTGCGTCTCCCCTCTATCCTTCCCACTGCCTCTTCAGCTCCTCTGCAAGAACTGATTGTGCATCTACCAATACATGTCGCGTGCTCTGATCGACCCCTCTTCAGTCGTCGAACCCTAGTAGAATCCCAGGATAACTGCCGAACGCCGGCACGATCCCCTCTAACAATGGCTACTCAAGCTGGCGCAGACGATCCTCTTGTTTCCGCCTTGCCGCCGGCCACCGATTACATGACTTACCTGACGTTGCTGGAGTATCAATTGACACCTCACAACCTTCCCACACTGAGCAGACTTCTCAGCGACGATGATGGCAAGCTTGCCGAAGAAATCGGTTGGGATCTGTTGAAACTTCTCCTTCCTATGTTGAAAGATACCCCTGAAGAGGCCAATCGATGCTTGGAGATCGTTGCTCGACGGGGCAATCCGAGAGAAGTCGTTGTTCGCGTTGCCGAAGAACTAGAGAAGTTGAGTGATCCAGTCCAGGCCTCTGACAATGAGGACGACTTCGATGAGAGATATGACCAAGACGAGCTACCGACGTTCCCGGGTGAAGCACCTCGAGTGCACCTTGGACAGATGACCCTACAGGGCATGCCTGCCGCTGTTCCTGCTGATAAAGCCAGTGGCGAGTCGAGTGCTGTCCATGAAATAGTGTCGGTCAAGGCATTGCAGCTGCAAGCACTCTTCAATATGTTGGGCATTCTCCACCCTAGGATCAAAACACAGTTCCCTAGTCGCTTCCTTGCAACGTCTCTGCCGGCCGCCCTCGGTGCTTATCGGCAGGTTCCCATCTCAACCGTGACTACTTCCTCATTTTTGACCATGTTGGAGAAGATATCTGGCAAGAAACGGCCACCTTTGCCGCCTCGCACCAGCACCCAAGGTGAGGGCCCGTCGTCGAGCACACTTCCACAGGATGTGCCTGCGACCGCAGCACCTTTGCCAGATCCCGAGGCTAGGGCTGAAGAGGAAGATACCGGGGTCAGTGAGCCTTCGCAGGGTGAAAAGGCCATCATTTTTCGACTACTTGACGCCGTGCTACTTGAAGTCCTGGATGAATACATGTCCTCGCTTGCAGCTCATGACCATCCCTCCATGTCGTGGACCGCTCGACTACGGGAGTATCGCGAGCCCAAAAGAGTCGTGCCTGGTAGACCGACAGAGACTGAGGTCTGGGAGAAAACGCCAGAATTGAAGGAACGCGATGCCCTTCTGGCACGGTTCCTCTCAATCAGCAAACAGATGCGACTCGACCCAAACCAAGAGATTACAAAACTAGTCTATGAAGATGAGGACGAAGACGCTGGGAACCCCTACCATGACAAGGATAATGCACCTTCGGAATACCCGACCACGCCATCTCAAATTCCCTTCCCTCGAGCCGGTGTCATCTTCCTCCACGCTTACCAATCCTATATGACTCCGTCTGAGGCAGAGGTGCTGCTCACCACCTCTGAGCTGACAAAACTCATCGCTCACTCGTTTCCCCTCAGCGCAACCCCGTCAATACCCCTGCCACCGCTCCAGGATTCGCTTCTCTCTCTTCTGTACAAAAGATCTCTGGCAGTCTCTTCTGCGCCAACAACACCACAGCCCTCTCCAGCCAAACTCCTCCTTTTGATAAGCACATTGACGCAACTCTTTACCATCACACCTTACCCCTCTCTCCGTGATTCGGCACACTACATCGCCACAAGACTGCTACACGCGTATCCAGACCCGACCGTGCGCTTACAGGTCATTGCGCAAACGCTTCGAGGAGACACGCTCAGCACTAACTGGGCGGAAATTGAGGATGACTTGGAGGCGAACGAACCTCCAGCTCCAGGGATCGACGAAGAGACGGGGCTCACGAGAAGCACTTCAGCTTTGCAGCCGCATCCGATCCCCCTCGCCCCTCCGCAGCAACTCGGGGCATTGAAGGCTGTAGGGGTGGACTGGCTGAAGGAGGAATTTTCACAATGGATTAGGGCAAGAACGCAAGGCCTGGCTGAAGAGGGTGCCCCAGCGGTCGGTGCTTTGGATCCTGCGGCAGTCCTTATAACCCCGGAAGACGCGACCTCTGAGGCAGAGGCGACTGAAGATAGGGACGATATAACAGCTGCACTGGTCGATCTCCTCTTCCCGCCGGATATAGCCACATTCACTGTCTCCTCCACCTCCTCCACGACAGCATCAACTTCTGCGACTTTGCCTGAAGAACCATCCCCGGATAAATTGTCAGAATTTCTCCTCTCAATGCCCTTCTACATCTCGACCCTCAATCTCATCTGCATTGTGCTTCCACATTTACCGTTATCTCAGCACCCAGCCTCGACGCTCAAAGCTCGGATTTCTGCTCATCTGTCGTCCTTGAACAAGGCGCTGGATTTTGTAGTTGAGTTGCTTGAGCACGCGCAGACATCGGCTTCAACCACTGCCCCTGGAGAAGGAGGAATGCGAGGAGGGGGTGCTGGTGACGAGCAAGAGGGATTCCTGGAAGAATCGCGAGCTGATATATTTGCGTTGCAAGATGCCTGTGCCAGGGCTGCCGGGGTGTGGGAGAAGGTGAATCACGGATGACGATGATGATGATATGATGATGGCCGAAGACCATACGACGACGACGACGGGATATGACAGTGAGGAAACGACAAATGAGCAGATGAGATGAAATGTGGGATCTCTATCTCCGGTACGCCTCCAGACCGGAACAGTGGAGTCAAGGAGACGTGGAGACGTGACTGAAAAAGAGACAGAGTGGTATCTGCGTGGATTGAAGACAACGAGTAAGTAGTAGATGGGCGTATCTACAGGTGCAGGAAGGAGCCTACCGAGTGCGATGGCTGTTGACTGTTGGCTGTTGGCTGTTGACTGTTGGTGGTTCGTTGATTGACTTGACCATGAATTTCTCAAACCAGGAAGATAAAGCAGTGTGTATGTAGATGGACATTCTTATTTATGTTTCTCTCTCTCTCGGTGTCTCTCTCTTGAATCTGTTTCGGCTTTTTTTTAGTTTGATTTTGGGGGTCTGTCTGGCTCCAATCTTTGAGTCTTTGACTGTGTCAGTGACTGTGACTGTGATGGCCTGAGTCGGCACCATCGGTCTTCTCTGGTGCGATCTAGAGCGCGATTGCATAGGTACAGAAGCCAGTTTGCACCAATCTTCAAGCCAGCCAGCCAGCCTTCAGCGTGGTTGAGGAGTATGTATGCAAGTCCCAACGAAACAAAACTTGACGCAACCCTCCCCGGACCCCCCCAGAAAAACAAAACAAAATCCACTCGTCTCTTTTCGCTTGTGACTAACAAGAAATTCTGCATCGAAAGAGTAAACGTCCGACCCCAAGTTGTCTAGTTCGCCCATAGTCTAAAACTCCGGTCGACGCCCAGTTCGTTCAAACAAGTCATGATAGCGAAGCAAGCAGTCCTGTTGATCCCGAGCCCCACATGCAGAACACGACTCCAGGGATAATGCTTCCAAGGTCCAAGGTCAAAGGCCGGAGGCCGGAGGAGGTAAGAATTGGTCCCACGGGATGGGAAGAGAATCTCCCCGAACGCATTAGGATTCTTGTGGCGACCCTGTTCTCTCCGAAGACGCGGAAAGTCATCGAAACCCCCACTACATCGGTTCCAATCAACCCAACCCCACAACAAATTGGCGAGATGTGTCCATGTGATGTACACCGACACACACAAGGTAAACATTTCCGATTCTTTCCAAGGGGCCCTTCCGATCTTCGTCCCAGAACTGGGGGAAATACCCCCGGAGGGCAGATCTTCCCCTCGGTGACACGATTTGTGGTTGGTTTTTTCTTTTCGTGTGCGCATCATCCACTCACTCCACGTTCTATCCTGCCCGGTTCCGATCGCTCCTCGATTTTTGGTATGCGAATGCCTGTTTGGTGATTGAATGCAAAGCCAAAGCTCAACTGCATAACGGACGTCGGCTGCGTGGTAATCATTTCCGACCAGCTGCACAACACTTGCACGCTCCACCAAGTTCGCCAGATTATTTGTCTCCGGTGTAGCTGATTATGACCAGACGTCTTCCTGGTACACGCCGCTGCTGCGCATGCTCTTGACCACTTGTTCGGCTTTCTTCTCGTCCACGCCCCGCTCGGCAGCGATGATCTGAGCGAGGACTTCATTGACTTCGCGAGCCATATGAGCAGCATCACCACAAACGTAGAAATTGGCCTTCTGTTGCAAGAGTTCATTAACCAACTTGCCATTTTCTTTGAGCAGGTGTTGCACGTAGACCTTCTTGGAGGTCTCGCGGGAAAAGGCATTGAAGATGGTCAATTTATCGCCCAAGATCTTCTTGTATTCCTAGAATATTCTGTTAGCAACCAATGTCACTCCTGAGATCAACGGTAGTAATAAACTCACCTCCCACTCCTGCTTGTAGAGCCAGTCTTCTGTCGATCGACGGCAGCCGTAGAAGAGTACCGTGTGCCCGACCTCCTCGCCTCTCTTGGCTTGTTCTGCACGCTCCTGCACGAAACCTCGGAATGGCGCAACACCAGTTCCAGGACCGACCATAATGATGGGCTTGCTGGGATTTGACGGCAATTTGAAGTTGGAGTGTCGGACATGAACGGGGACATGAATACCGTCGTACTTGTTGCGGGGACCAGTGATGGCGTACGTGAGACCGTGAGGTGATGGGTCCGGATCTCCGTTTTGCTTCTGCTTCAAGGCCAAAAGGTAATTGGTAGTGACGCCTTTAACAATGTGACCGGCACCGGGGACGCGGATTGATTCGACCACTGCAGTGATGGCGATCTTCTGGGGTTGAACAAGTGAAGACGATGAGATTGAGTAATACCGAGGCTGCAACTTGTTGAGACCCTCCACAAGGCAAGAGAACGGGACAGCGGACCACGGTCCAGGATGGACGGCCGAAACCGCCTGGGCAATGTTCAGCATCTGCGAGGCAACCTTTTCCTTGAAGTAGTCGGCATCGGAACCCAATTTGGTCATTTCCTTCTTTGCATCCTCGTTGGGGGCAAAAGCGGCGAGCGTGGCTAAGAACTGACGCGAGACAGGGGCGCAGATTTCCATATGATAGCGAACAGCGGCGTCGTAAGTTGTTGGGGTTGGGAAGGGCACCTTGGCGGTTGCGTCCATACCCTTCATGCTGATAACCTTGTGTCTTTTCTCTTCCAGGCCAAAGGTCTTGATCAATCGATCCACTTCCATGCCTGCGTTCGTGGGCCAAATTGCGATATGGTCCCCAGTGGTGTAAGAGATGCCGGAGCCCGATACGTCGATCTCGCAATGCAGGCAGTTTCGATCTTTGACAGTAAACAATTCCTTGGACTCGGCAATTGGTGCGATGAACGGGTTGTGGGCATTGTAGGGGCCCTTCTGCGCGCCTTCGAGGTGGTTCTTGTTCGGTTCTCCTAGATAAACAGTGTCACTTTCTGGGGACAGATCATCGCGTTCTTCGACGCTGAATACTGGTTCGTAAACAGCTTCGCGTTCTTCCAATCCCATTTTCTCGGCCAGAGCAGCCCACATGGGTTCTTTCCAGGCCAAGAAGTCTTCTTCCATGGTACCAGCACCGTCATCTCCTTCACCCGCGGCCCCGATCCTCTCAGCACCCAGTTTGGTCAAAATCTTGTCCAAGTTTCGGACCATGGAGTTGTAGTGCTCATAGGTGTTGTTACCCAGACCAAACGCAACATATTTCAGGTTGCCCAAGGGCTTATCTTCGGAGGCTTCGGAGAAGGAAGGAGGGTCTTGGTTCATGAACTCCCAGAATTCGACCGCGTTATCGGTGGGTTCACCCTCGCCGTAGGTAGCCATGACGAAGAAGGCCACTTTGTCCTCGGGGAATTTGTCGAGGTTTTCATAGTCGTAGTCTTCCAGGTCAGCAGTCATTGTGGCCAGTCCGAAGCGAGCATGGCCCTCTTTGGCTAGACGGGAGGCATAATCTTCGGCGGTACCGGTCTGGGAGCCGTAGAAGATGACACAGTTTTTGCCCGACTCCTCCATCTTCTCCAGGATGTTACGGGAACCTTTCTTGGAAGCGCTGCCATTGAGGGCAGATGTGGCATAAGGGTCCTTGGGGACACCCCAATAAGTGCCTTTGGTGAAGTAGGCGACGCTACCGAGAAGTAGCAGAACGAGGACAATAATGTCCAGGGTGTCGACCTGAGCCATGGTGGGGATGTGTATGGGATGAGGCTCACTGGACATTAGGTCTGCGAATTGGTTCGGAAAGTGCAAAAAAAGAGGTGTCCTAAAGAAGCAGAGCGACGCTGCTTATATACGACCGCAGCCCGCTCGGTGGTGAGCAATTGGACAGCGTGGAGATACGGGCTCGACGGGTACTTTGGGCTGCCGCGAACTGTATGTGGCCTGATGTGGCCAAGATTCCGGTGCGCAGATGTGCAGGGTGTGCACCTGGGCCCTCCTTGGGAGTGTTAGGTGGCTTGGTGGGGTAGACTGCGCAGGCTAGGTGTTTTCTCCTTTTTTGCTTTGGCCTTTGTGTGGGCTCGGCGGCGTCGCGTTCCAGCTGCGAGATGGGGTTGCAGAGTGCGAGAGCAGGGGACGCTCAGATAGAGGCCAATCAGTCAGTATGGCGGATGCTCGATAGGGCTAGTTGAGGCCTTATCGGGGTTGGTTCGTCGCCGTTGGGAATGGAAACCTTCGACTGAATTTCTCGCCTGGAGGTTCGACTTGAAGAAACACAAAGGTGTAGAGCAATAAAAAAGATGAAGGTGAGCAAGCGCAGGAGATTTTAAACCGAAACTAGGATGTCTATTGTCAATGTAAGGCTTGTAGACCGGCAATTGGGAGAATCGAAGAAATATAGAGGATCTGGGGTCTGGAGAAACTTGGCCGCCTGCGTGCCACGGCAAAGTCAGGTCGCGGAATTGTTTGGTGGGTTCGGATGAAGAATCGCGACGATGCGCGAGACAGCAACCAACGGCGAGCAAGTGCGCAGTGACTTCGGTGGCTATTCGGCACCCGTGATGTTGGTGACTGGGTGACTTGCCGGCCACAATAATAGGCGGAACGAGTGCTCGGAATTGGGGGGGTGGGGGGGGGGGGAGGTGATGATAGTTGGGAGCCTCGAGGGGTTCCTCCGCGGGATCAAACGGGTGAAGGACGGCAGTTGAATTTCTCCTGGACGAAACACAGGTTGAAGAACGACGGTTCCCTTCCTTTTATTTCTATCCTCTAGTCTTGTACAGGTATTAAGTGCATTGAATGTTCGCCGCCGCTCACTGCAGAATGCTTGTAGCCTTCCCGTGATGGCTGACTGTGGTGCCCCATCTGCATCTGATTGTGATGGCAACGAGTAGACCCTGTACTGAGTACTTGTACAACACTGCACATAGGAATGAATGAAACTACCTAGTATCCAAAGATCCTCCACTGATGCTCGTAACCGAACCCGGTAAAAACAACATATTTACTTGTAGATACCAACTTCGAAGACTGCTCCAGGATACGAAGTACGATTGTGTGTGGGTTCATGTGGTGGCAACAAAACTGACCTTCTCATCCCCACATCCATGCCGCACACCATTCACATTGATTGACACGAATACCACAGGAGATCCCCTGCACGCACCTGCGGCCTCCTTGTTTATCTATGTGTACGAGTAAGCCTCCCAACACAGTCAGCACAATATGAGAAGATGCCTCTAACGAGTCCTCTAACTTCTCACATTCGCACCCTTGAGGCTGAACGCTGATCCAACCCTGTAGCCGCCGCAGCTGTGGCAAAGGATCGCCTCCCTCGTATATCGACTTCACATCTTACAAGCCTATCGCAATCCCGCCCGGACTACTCCGTGTCGTAGGTACGACACTCTAAGAGCCGGCCCCAAAAATAACTTACGAAACATGGGCAAGAAATTACGACCTTTGTACCCCGTACATAAGGCGCGGTCGCCTCCAAAGTGTCAATGTTTCGTGCTGGACGAAGAGAAGGAGATGAGGACACCACAGTTGGCGCCGGTGCAAGTCAGCCAGGCACACCAGGACCGTGATAATGTGATCGTCAGGATCCCATCCCGCTTGTAGAATGCATCACGCTCTCCCTTTAGTCGGTTCTGTTTCCATGGCGCGAGATACTTATTGGTGTGCCTGGCTTGTAGGCCGAATCAATCGTCAAAAGTCGTCAGGCGGACCTCCTATGATTCGACCATTTGTGCCATGTGACAGCGAATCGCACGTTGTAGCACTTGAATTCGGCCAATTTGTACTCGGTGGACAGTGACAGTCTGTTCACAAACCGTCCTACGCTCACGCTAGACAAACATAATGGAATGGGCGCTCTCTTTTATACAGGTATTTCCCTTTCTTTTGATCTCGTAGACCTGTTCCAGGTTGGAGGGGCCTTGTAAGTGTGTTGTGATTGGTGGGTATCCGTCGTTGTACCTCCTCCTTCGCTGCGGGCAATTAAAATTCCAACTTCAACCACAACTCATCGCGGTTTTCCTCTTCCCTCTCCGTCTAAGCACCGCATCCACGGTCTCCCAACCTTTGCGCTTCTAGGTCCAGAAGCGCAATGACGAAGTCTCTGCCCTCTTTTCAACGCCGGCCAACAGGGGCGCACAATGTTGCATAACCGTAAGTCCATTCGGAATTCTTCCGCTGCCATTCCAACACCCAACCCTTGATTCTCCCTCTCCACACATCGGCAAGATTTGGCTAGGATCGATGCTCTGCATCAAGATGAGCCTGGCCATGAGCACATGACCCCCTTCTAACCGTGTCCAATGCTACCAGATGCTCAATCCGCTTCCAACGAGCCCTCTCTCTTTCCCCTCGACGGCCCTGGTCCGGAACAGGTTTCCCAACCCTTGCCTAATGGCCATCCGCAACTCGCTCCCCCAATTCATTCGAGAGACGCATCTGTGACGAGAGGCAGGCCTCAGCAGACCTCGACTCAAGCATACCCCTCCAGTGTCGCGGCTTCATCGCGTTCAGGCTCGGTGCAACCCCAATCACATGGGGCAGAGTCCTCTGGGAGTTCAAGAGGTGGATCCGCAATTGATACGGCCTTGCAAAGGCGAACGTCAAACAGTTATGGCCATCATCGCCAGACATCTGTTATACATGGCCTACAGCACTCGAGAAGCCCCAGCTTCAACTCTCCTTCGTCCACAAGCCCTCTGACCCCGGACTCTTTGCTGAGCGCCCCCAGCTATGGGAGATATCCGAATGCGAATCGACGTGGCCAGTACTCTAATGCAGAGAATACCTCCACGTATACCAGCCCAGCATCCCCATTTCCAGGCCACACACAAGGGCACTCCATTGATTCCTTGATCGATGGCGGCCCCTCGGCGCACGAGTCTGCTTCCTCTCAGCACAGGAGGCGTAAGGAGCAGTCTCGAACAAGACGTGGCCATCAGGGTCACGCATATCACTCATCGAGTATCCACCAGCAGCCGGAACCGCGTACTCCGGGTGAATACGCTCTCTACCATCTTTTCCATGCCTTTGTGCTGCGGGCTGACCAGAGGATCAATCATTGTCTTACTCTGCTAGACAATGTTGTTGCACCAGTGGAGCAAGCCTGTGGCCCAGGCGTTGATGTCGGGTTTGACCAATTGATAGCTTCGCTGGGGCACATCTCTCGTCAAGGCCCTAAGCCTTTGGTGGATTCTTTGATGCTCTGGCGAAAGGGAAAGGGCGACGCCGCGGCCAATTTGAAGAAGCAAGTCTACCAGCAGAGACTGCAAATGGGACTTACCAATTCGTCAGTGCCTCCTTCACTGCCCAGACGTCACACAGAACCACTCCAGGCTCCAGGAGAGAATGGACTCCCCCAGGCGGGCACCGAACAGACCTCCTCAACAGAAGATGCTCTCACGCAGGAGTATATGCTGGCAGATCGCCGTGCTACGATATCAGTATACATCCTCTGCCGAGTCCTGATTGCAATTTTTGAACAAAGTAGTCTGGCTGCAATAACCCAAGATCTAGCCAACAAGCTCGAGGACATCTTGTTCACCCAGATCAGGGAGGTTGAGCCTTCGCAGATCTTGACATCGACCATTCGACTTGCCAATTGGAAGATCTATGGTGAAGTCCTAGGCCACATGAGTCGCCTTGACTTTGTCAATGTCACCTTTCGGTTTACCCAGCAACTAGAACAGTGGCAAGTGGATTTTTCGAAGAGCCCGGGAACTGCTACGGCCAGAGATATCGAATCTCGTCTTGAACTGCTCCTGCTTGGTATGCGCCATCTCCACATTTCTGTTACGAGAGAAGCAGCCTTAAGTGTTGCCGAATTTCTAAGAACACTTGCGGCCCTGTTCTCCGACGCGCATGGACCTCGCGTAAAGCAAGCATATTGCCAGCTCTTCGAACGCATGCTGACAGCGGTGGCGAGTAACCCCGAGTGTTTTCAGGCGGTGCCGAAGTGGAAAGATTTTGTAGAGACCGTCAACTCGCGCCTAGGAAACATGTTGGTCAAGGTTCGTCATTGGAATACGGGTTTTCCGGTGTCGATTCTGCTCCTGTGCGTTTCGCCTATCGATGTGTTCTCCACGCAGTGGTTGCCAATGATTTCGACCCTGGCCCCCAAACTCAAGGATAGGTCAACAAGAGCTCTTGCTTTGCAGGCAATCTGTCAGCTGGTCTGGACGTACATTACACGCGTCGCAGACACCACCCAAGTCAAATTGCGTCGATTGGAAGACATCATCAAAATCACAATTCCGCAAGGGAGAAAGACACACGTTGTCTCTGAGCCATCCACCGCCGCTCCATTGGTCCAGTTCATCAGGATCATTGGCTTTGCGGCCCAGGACCTTTGCTTTCGCTCAATCATCTTTCCCCTCCTCCATTATGACATGTTCCAAACCAGTCGAAGTCTCAAGATTGAGAACATGGAGCTAGAACGCATGGTTATTGGAATACGAGCATTTCTTGCTGTCATGGCCGATTTGGAGAAAAATAGCCCGAGCGGGCCGCCGTTCCCTGCGTTCACCGTTTCATCGCAGAACATTGATGGCCTACCATCCTCGCCTGGGAGCAGGAGGACTAGTCTCGGCCTTGATACGCCACTTCGACCGCGCTTTGAAGACGAGAGTCCCTCAATTCCAGTCAATACGGCAGTCCTGGACGAAAGTGCTAGACAGTACTATTTGCAGTTTTGCCAAATTTTGGGCAAGATCACAATCCTCTGCGACAATACTTTTGGCGGACAAGCTACTCTGAATGAGAAGCTGTCATCAAACGTGACTCCAAAGACTCCTCTTGCCGATGCATTCGCTTTAACTCGCGGCCAGGACGGGACTGTCACTGATCAGCGCCAGCTGTACTATGAGTTGCTCCATGTGGCTATCCAAGCTCTTCCTCGTTGCTTCACCGATCACATTCCCCTGAGCCCATTGATCAACCTTCTGTGCACAGGCTCTGCTCATGTACAAGCCAATATAGCAGCCTCTGCCACACAATCTCTGAAGGCAATTGCAAAGCAGGGCCACGCTCAAGCTGTAGCCATTGCCTTTCCACGTTTCATCTTCCACTATGACTCCCAATACTCTACGATGTCAGACGAGGGCCGTCTGGGACCGGCGCATATCGAGGCGACGTTGACACTATATCTCGAATTGTTACAAATATGGACAGAGCAGCTCAAGCAGAAGGCGGTGGCAAGCTCTTCAGAAATGAGAGATCGCTCGATCACGGGCTCTCAGCGAGCTCTGCAGATGGAACTGACAAATGTCATCCCGCATGTGGATGAAATAGAAGCCTATGGCCTGTTCTTCCTCTGCTCGCAGTCTCGCCGCGTGAGAGCATTTGCTGTCAAGGTCCTTCGACTTGTTCTTCAGTTTGATTCGGTCCTCGGCCAAGATGTGCCATCTCGCATCATCAAACTTCTTGAAGGCCAGTCATCAGTAATTTTGGACTTGCACGAGGATGCGCTGAATGTCGCAGAACGCAGCCGCTTACAAAAGGATAAGCGCACTGGTCCTGGCCAAAGCACACTGATTGAGATCTGCAGCTCTGAAGTGTCCTATGATTCGACCCTCTGGTTCAAGGCTTTCCCGAATTTGATCCGCGTTGTATTTGATGCATGCCCAAATGCCATTGCCTTATGCCGCGGAACAGTCACGGACAGATTGATGATGATGCAGAATGACGTTGAGGCGTTTTCAGAGACGACTGGTGCAAATGCGGCAACGTATGAGTACCGTCTGCAGGGACGAAGCTCGGCAACATCTGCAGAGGTGCTCTTTGAGCAGTGGAAGTTGTACCTTATCATGGCCTGCGTCACTCTAAGTTCTCCAGGGGGCCAATCTCGGAGCCAGCTTGCCGATGCTGCTGCCCATTCAAGGAAGACCTCCAAGGGCACTGCAACAGCACAAGACAAGATGAGTTCTGCCAGAGCGTTGTTCTCTGCCATCATTCCAATGCTTGGTGCAGCGCCCGACGCCATACGTGATGCAGTAGTCTCTGCTCTCGGTTCCATCAATCGCAAACTTTGCCGGACACTTCTCGAATCGCTTCAGTATGCGGTGATCAAGTGCAATGATGAGGCAAAGGCGAGAATCAACCATCAGAGGACTCCAAGCAGCCCACAGCGATCTCAGCAGACCGAACGGTTACGAACGGAGGTTACGCATGTATACAAGCTCACAGCGGCCTTCTTGCGTTTCGAAGATATCTATGAAGACGACTGGATTCTACATAACCTCGTTAATTACACGAGGGATCTGCGTATCTTTCTGAGCGACAATGACGTGCAGAATGATTGGCGATTCCAAAGACTAAGATACCATTTCTGTGGGTTAGTCGAGGAGGTCTTCGAAGGGGTCAACAGATCGAAAACGCCGTCTCGCTGGATGCCTTTCGAATCGCGGAAGTCTGCATTTGCCCTGATGGAAGACTGGTGCGGCTACTCCGCAGAGCGGAATTTGATGGATCCCAATCACGGCCATGCCCGCGACTTGCATGATCGGATGAACGCGAGTGCTGCACTTGAGAAAGAGAAGAACAATCTGCGAGTAGCTGCCCTGAGCGCAATGGCGACATTGTGCGCTGGGCCGATCAGCATCAAAACTGACAGCAACGCGATCCTGTCATTCAACCTTCAACGCATGCTGTCATGGATCGATACCATTTTCGCTACAAGCAATCACAAGATGCACACCATTGGGCGACGAGCGCTTAAGCTCCTCCTGATGCACAATCCGGAGCATCTCGTCCTTGCCGAACATGCTATCGAGCAATGCTACCGGACGGAATCCTCGATGGCGCTGGAGAGCTATTTTACTGTGGTTTGCGAGGTTCTCATTGAACAGCCAGACTATCCCCTAGCCTTTTGGAAAATTCTCAGCATCACTGTGTTCACCTTGGGTAACGAAAATCGTGAAATCAGAATGCAGGCGGCGCATCTGATCCGCACTCTACATGAACGCCAACATAAGAGCACCAATCTTCAAGAGTTTGACATCAGCATTTCCGACAAGACGCGTGCTGTATACAAATTGGCCCAATTTGAATACTCCAAGCGACTTGCAAAGGCCAACTCAGACATCGCGTTCATGATCTTCTCCGAGTTTTCACTCCATTATAAATCTGCACGTAACGATCATCAGCGCAACATGGTCGTCGCCATCTTACCCTGGTTGCAGACTCTCGAGCTCCAGGTCGACCCGGGGACCGGGTCTCCAACTGCCGCCTCGTATATGCTTCTGGCAAACATGTTCGAAATCACGATTTGCTCAAGCAGCGCAATGCACAACGAGGTCCAAGCCTTGTGGCAAGCCCTGTCAACAGGACCTCATGCGGGAAATGTGCAACTGATTCTTGACTTCATTATTTACCTGTCGCTCGATCGCCGCGATCAGAACTTTGTCGAATACGCAAAGCAAATCGTTGTATATCTTTCTTCCACTCCTGCCGGTTCACGAGTGCTGGAATTTTTCATGTTACAACTCGCGCCAAAGAACATGGTTAATGACAGAAAGCATGCTGATGTAGTAATGCCTGATACAAGAAATCTTCCCTACGTGGCTGATTTGACATCCCTTTTGCCTATGGGCAACAAACAGGTAGGACAGGCCAGATCTTTGAACGGATTGCATTCTGACGAGTCAATAGGTTGGTCTTTCCTTAGGACAAGTCTCCCTGATTTTCTTAGTCGACCTCATGGTTACACCGGTGACCCTGGCCAAAGATGAGGCGATCAAGCTCATTCATACTGTCCTCATCCTTTGGGACCACTACACAACGTCAGTCCAGGAACAGGCTAGAGAGATGCTGGTCCACCTCGTTCACGAATTGGTAACCACAAAGATCGACTCGCAGATCCTCTCCTCTGTCAAGTCAGACATTGAAAGTCTTGTTGCTGCAATTCGAAGCAACAGTCCTCGGATAAGCTGGACTTACGAGAGCAACACAAGGAAGGACGAAGACGATGGCGCTAGCCGGGTACCGCAGGCAATGGGGGTTCTCACCTCGGAAATTGTCAACATTTTCAATCTAGCGTTTGACAATTTTAGCGACAGCTGGGCTAAAGAAGCGCTGCACTGGGCCTCTATCTGTCCTGTCCGGCATTTGGCATGTCGGTCGTTCCAAGTATTTCGTTGCATTTCTGTCAGCCTCGATGCTAGGATGCTTGCGGATATGCTTGCACGACTTTCCAACACGATTGCCGATGAGCACACGGACTACCAGACCTTCTCGATGGAGATCTTGACAACACTCAAAGTCATCATTGGAGCACTGGAACCCAAAAATCTTCTGAGATATCCGCAGCTCTTCTGGACGACATGCGCCTGCCTCAATACCATTCATGAAAGGGAGTTCTACGAGACGTTGGGAATGCTCGAGAAATTCCTCGACAAATTGGACTTGTCCGCTCCGGACGTTACGGACGCTATGATGAAGGGGCTCCCCGGAAAATGGGATGGCGGCTTTGAGGGGCTGCAGCCACTGCTTTACAAAGGGTTGAAGTCGGCCGACAGCTTGGACAAGACGCTTTTCCTTCTCCACAAACTCGCAGACCTGCCGGATTGCCAACTAATTGGGAACGACAATCGCCTCCTCTACTGTGTCCTGGCAAATCTACCCCGGTGGCTTCGAAGCTTTGAACTCGACGAGATCGAACCTATGACGATAGCTTCGGCCCAGAGACTCACAAAAGTGGCGAGCGCAGCTGGCCATGATCTTCTTTCGGCCACTCTTCAGCGTTTCGCCAATAACGAAATAACATCGAGTCAAGAGATGCTCACCACCACCATTCAAGCTATGAGGGCCGCGTACTTTCCAGCATGCGACGCTCCAAGTTTGATCTTCATGATCGGACTATTGACCAACAAGACACCGTGGTTTCGAGTCAAATTGATGGACATTCTATGCGAGTTAATCCCGATTGTGAACATGAAGAGCCATGCCATCACGACACATGGACCCGATCTCATTTCTCCCCTGCTGCGGCTATTGCAGACGGAGCACTGCACACAGGCTCTGGAAGTGATGGACTATATCATGGAGGTAGCAGCTACGCCCATGGAAAAGCATCACATGCGGATGAGCATGGCTTCCGGCTCAGCAAAGGCTATCAGAAAAGAGTATGAGCGGACACAAAGCCTGTACGGGATTCCCCACTCATCCGGCTGGTCTATCCCGACGCCTGCCATCTATTCTAGCATGACGAGGCACAATGTCCATGCTGTTTTCTATACATGCGGCGACTCGGACTTGTTGAATACTCAAGAAACCACCACTCCTGATGTTGAGTTTCAAGGTGATGATGGCTACACGGATTCATACTTTCCCCCACAGAGTCGTGCTGAAACTATCCGGTCACTGGAAGTGGCGGCAGACGCCAATGTCAGTGACTTGGTCAACACACTTGACAGCCTCGATGATTTCTTCGACGATCTTGATGGCGACGACGTCTTAACTCCCACCGGCACCAGTCAGCTTGGCGTGTCCGTCATTGCGCTTCCCACTCTTACCGAACACAGCACAGCGATGTATGACGAGCAGACTGCCCCGATTCTTCGTCAGAGTCTAGCGCGGACTTCATCGACAACGACGGTACAGGATGGGTTTACCGAAGCCGGACCACTGCCTGGCATCGTTCATCGAACTCAGCCTAGTCTATCGTCTCCAAGCTCTACCGCAGCTACACAATCATCCTTCTCTTCGATCGACGAGTTGGGAGGCCCGGGACCGTCATTGCCCAATTCTACCAAGAAGCCTATGCTCCAGAGCATGCTTAGTCCTGTCAACCATACTCGACCTGGACTTCATGCCAGATCAATTACCTCTCCAGCGAACCAATTTCAGGCATCGCAACCAACTTCATATGGAATGACTCCCATGTCTGAAGGCGGATCATTCAGGTCTCAGGATGATTATGCTGATCAGTACGATGAGGTCATTATGTCGGATGGAGAGAGCAGTCCATTTCCCTCGCTAAGCATGACCATATCCAACCAGACCAAATCTTTGTCAGGCCCAGGGCCCTCCGAATATCAGACAATGCCAACATCTGCAAACGAGACTGGAGGAGCATTCAGCCTGCAGGGAATGCGAAGAGGCATGCGGCGTCTTACAGGCGGCAAGAGTGAAAGCCAAAAGGAGAAGGACAAGATCAAAGACCTGGCGCGCTTACGCGGGCAATCCGGAGGACAGGGACAAGCGACGGCGGCGTTGCAGAGTCCCAGGGTTCCAAGAGTGCCGGCGGAGTATCTCAATGCATCCAATACGAGCGGGGTCAGCCCAACTGCGAGCCCGGGATTTTGAAGGCATATGGGAGTGAGATTTCTGTTTCGAATTTCCGTTTCTTTCAGTACGACAGCGATACCCGTAATAGAGCATCATGGAGCATGAAGGACGTATCATCGGCGTTTCTTGAGCATTTCCAACGACCACCATATGTCTGTGTACCATATACAAAAAGGTATTCTCGAATGCGAAGACAAAAAAGCCGGATGTGTATACTAGGTTTAGCAATTGCAGGCGCTCAAGGACAGACATTTCACACAACAAAAGGTTTTGGAACTCGTTCCAAGCTTCTATTTCCTTCCGAATCGACTCTTTGCTGGTTCCCCCTTTCTTGGTAGGAAGTTTGCAGGCCAAGCTGGATGAACTGACACAGACATTTGAACGGCGCACTGGCCATCACCCACATTCCTACTCCTACATTCCAGGCAAGGGACCCAAACAGCAGAGCTAGTCGAAGCGCGACCGAAGACGAACAACTGTTTCTATACGGGAAATAGAGGTGAGTGAAGCAGGACAAGAGGTGGACGCGACAAGATGCGGCTTACAAAGTGTGTCGTGAGGTTGGACAATGTTCTGCTGGTCTTACAGGGCATTCTAGCATTGTCTGCTGCTCAATCAGGTCAGGGCTGTGGTGCTCCATGGTCTCGAGATCCTCCAATACTAACTACGCTACAGTCTCGACACTGCCCGATGGTTGTTACCTTACCTCGTCCATTGTCTATGGGAACACGACCGCATCAAGCACTGTCACTACCAGTGGGGGCCCGTCAACCATATCCACGAGTTCAGGAGCTTCAATATCAGGCTCTAGCAGTGTCGCCTCGTCATTTTCCTCTTCGAGTGCGTCCTTCAATCCCTCTAGTACAACGAGTCCCACGGTACCAACCACAACAATCCCGTCTCCGACTTCAAACCCATTCGTGATCACTGTCAGTGGTATCGGCGATAAACTGAGAGCTCGTGCCCTGGACTATGTGACGTTCAACGGTGGCAATGCTTATCTCTCTCCTGACGAAGATGCTGCTACTATTTTTGTTCTCACTGTGAATGGCCACTTGAAACCCGGGAATGGCGATGTCGGCACCACCGGAAATACCGGCACGTTGCCTCTCGTCCAGTTTTTTGATTCGACTCAGCCGAGTGACTATAGATGGTCCCTCAACGGGACAAGATTGATGTTTGGAGATACGACATTCTCGGCGACTCCTAATGCACGGCTGTATGTGGTTTTTCCTGGGAGTCAGCCGCTTGAGGGAGCTATACAAATTAGCATGGTCGCCGACTTCGTTGATGTTTCGACATCGAGCTCAAGTCTGGCCAGTTCGACAAGCACAAGCACGACTTCTATAGAGATCACAAGCACTGTTACTGCCAGTACCATTACAAGCATAAGCGAGCAACAAACGAGCGAGACTACGCAACAGACTGCCTTTACGACCAATATAGTCAGCTCGTCGCTCGCCAGCACGGAGTCAAACCCGTCCTCTGGCACCACTACGACGACGCCGACGACGACGGAAACAACTGCAGGTTCGTCACAATCCACACAATTGACATCCACCAGCATGAGTACCTCCTCGTCATCGCCAACGCAATCAGTCTCTGCGACTCTAGCGACTCAGTCTTCGGCACAACCTACAAGCTCGCCACCGACCTCATCCTCTCATCTATCGTCTCTCTTAGCCACGAAGAGTAGCGAATCAGCTTCTACTGTCTTGACTTCGTCGTCTTCCAGCCACGCTACGAATACTCCAAGTAGCCTGCCGACAGCCTCAACGAGCACAATGAGCGTAACAATTGAGGGAGGGGCGTCAACGTCCACCTCAGCGTCCAGCTCAACGTCAAGTCTTTCGTCCTTAGCGACGACAATCTTATCGAGTGCCACGCCAACAACCTCAAGCAGTGCATCTGCGAGTCTCTCTCCAAGTTCATCGTCTAGTACAACGAAGTCAAACACCACTGTAGCAAGTCAGTCCACATCCGCAACGAACACTTCGTCCAGGCCGGGCACTGTCAGCTCAACCACAATGTCCACGTCTTCTTCCACCATCACTACCATAGGCAGGACAAGCACCACTGGCTCACATACGAGCTCACGAACCAGCACCAGGAGCGTCACAACGGCGAGCTCGTCTTCCAGTCCCATAGCCACTCCGTATCCCGCCAAACGAGGACTGACCTACCGCAATGTCACCACGCTTCAATTCTACCCTCCCCCATCACCCTACATTTCGTGGTCGTACAACTACTACTCGCTGCCCAACGCCAGCGACGACGTCGGTATTTACCCTTCGTCCCAATACCGCTTCATCCCTCTCTTGTACAACGACGCCGACTCTCTCACGTCCATCTGGGCCGCCAACGTCAACTTTTCCATTGCCAACTACGGCACCGACGCCATCTTCGGGTTTAACGAGCCCGACGCCAACTTCAACGGCCAGTCGGCCAACATGCCCGTGGCGCAGTCCATCCAGGGCTACCACAACTTCATGCAACCGTTCGCGGGGAGGGTCAAGATCGGCGCCCCCGCCGTGACCAACGCCGGCGGCGGGCTCACGTACCTGGCGCAGTTCCTGGGCAACGCGACGCAGCAGAACCTGACGATGGACTTCCTCAACATCCACTGGTACGCGTCGCCCTACAACATCGACTACTTTGAGAGCTACCTCGCGCAAGCCTACAATCTGTCCGTTAGTTACTCCCCCGCCGGCGCCGCCCCCCTCCCCATCTGGGTCACCGAGTTCGGCATGGACCAGGACTTTTACGACCAGCCCACCACGGCGCAGTTCCTCAAGAACGCCACGCGCTTCATGGACGCCCAGACCTGGGTGGAACGGTATGCCTGGTTCGGCAACTTTCCAGGCGGGTACACTGCCTTCGGCACCCCGACGACGAACATGCTCCTCAACGTCGACGGGAGTGCCCGCAGTGTCTTGGGCGATGTGTGGTATTCGTATAATGGGACCAATTAGGCTTTTTTTAATCCGTGGGGTCGATTTTTCTGATATGTGTTGTGGGGGAGGACGGTGGGGAGTTTGGGGGGAGGAAGGCGTCAGGTGTAGGTGTGTGTGTGTGTGTGTGTGTGAGTGACAGAGAGAGAGAGAGAGAGAGAGAGAGAGAGAGAGAGAGAGAATGAGGACCAAATTCAATTCTATTCAATATTTCTAGCACCGCTCAAAGACGCGATACAAACCCTTGAGGTTCGCCACCTCGACGACGCCCTTGAGCATCCCTTGTGTCGCCACGATCCTTGACCGAAAGGCCGGAAAGAGGACGTGCTCGAGCGCGTGTTCAAGCTCTGTCCTTCTATTCTCTGTGGCTTCATCGGAGTTGTCTCCGTTATTGTCGTCTCGCACTGGCGAATTGTGAGAAGCTTCTGGCTCGCTTCCTACGTCCTGCATCTCGTCCTCCCCGCGCTTCCCCTTGTCCTGGCCTTTTTCTGTGTGCTGCTGATTCGGTTTCGGTGCCGGCAGCATCTCGGGCACATAGAAACTGGCCAACTCCCGCAAAAATGTACGGAAACAGCCTTCCTCCTCGGTCCAGTTCACGAAAGGGCCCAACCTCAGCAAGAACGTGGGCAATTTGGCCATGCATGGCGTATACCCTTTCACCAACAGTGGGATCGTCTGCAAGTGGCCGTCCTCGGAAATCTCGAGGGAGAAATACTCCGCTAGCATGGCTCGGCTCTTCATGAGCTGTTTGTATACCTTGTCCGCGACTTGGTCTTTGTCCAGACCTGCGCAGGTCGGGTCGATCGAGATTTGATGTTCGGCCGCGATATCTAGAAGCTCCTTCAGGCGAGGCGCAGGCTCCAACTGGATGAGCCCAAAATTGCCAAAGTCAGTCAGACCGACTTGATAGAAGAACTCGTTACATGTCATCCCGTAGTCAACCAGGTACAACTTGACGCCCGACTGGATGGCTGCCAGTCTTCTGTTGCTATCCACAACACCGACGTAGGTTAGAGAGGCGAATACTTCGGTCAGTGCGTTGTGCATTGCATCACGGACTTCGGCTCGGAGATCCTTCACGGATGTGAGGCGTATTTGGACTTGTTCTCGATCGGTTGTTGCGTATCGTATGCCCGCAGTTGTCACAGTCTCGTCTTGAGATGTTGAAGTTTGCAAGGCTGGCGGAAGCATCGAAGTGATTTTTCGCATTTTCGAGTCAGTCCGTACTAGATTGTTTTCGTAGGGCTTTTTAGAGGTTGAGGTCCTTCTTGAATTGGTGTCGTCCGTAGCAGGAGTTTGGTCCCCGGTCGGGAACCTCGGATTCATTGGCGTCATAGGGGTGACCCCAGGAAGGAGTGTCTGAGTCTTGAAAGTCCTGCTCGTATCGACCTTTGCCAGACTTTCCCGGATGTTTGCACAAACCAAGTCAATGATTTCGTCCTCGTTCAAGAAGTGGACTTCTCGCTTAGTGGGGTGTACATTGACATCAACTCGGGCAGGATCGATGTCCAGGCTGAGGTAGACAAAGGGATGTCCACCTTTAGGAAGAAATAGCTGATATGTCTGCTCGATAGCTTTCTTGACAGCTGATGACTCGACCGACCGGTTGTTGATGAAGAGAAGTAACATCGTTCGTTTCGAATGGTAGTTTGCATTGGTAGCATAGCCAGATGCTCTGAAGCCCCAACGTGAATCATCGGTGCCGAACTCCATGATCTCTTTTGCGATACTTCCCCCATATGCTTGCCTGAGTCTGTCAATTTTGGTGGCGGCGGCGGCTACTGACAAGCCTATACCGGTCTCACCGTGCTTTTTGACGGAAAACGCAACACCTTCGCGGTGCACGGCGTATCGGGTAATGATATCAAGCACCTTTGCATATTCTTCCGACGGCGATCTAAAGGCCCGACGACGGTTGGGGATATTGTAGAAAAGGTCTTCGACAGTGATCTGTGTTCCAGGCCGACCAGCACACGGCTTCGGGTCTGAAGATTGACCAGGTTTCGGGGCGGAAAGTTTTCCATCTTGATAATGTGCCTGCCACGCACAGCTAGAGTTCGTAGTCCTTGTAGTTACTCTGAGGTGGGCAATATGGCTGATACTGGCAAGGGCTTCTCCTCGAAAACCGTAGGTGCCAATGGACATGAGATCCTCGAAGTTCTTCAACTTGGAGGTGGTAAACCTTTCGCAGAGAATGGGCAAGTCATCTTTCTGTTGGATATATCAGCTTCCGAAACCTTGTCCAGTTCAGGACCGCACCTCGATTCCATGGCCATTGTCGGTAATCTGCAACAGCTTGAGGCCGCCATCTTTGACCAGAACCTCGATAGAAGTGGATCCAGCATCGATGGAGTTTTCGAGTAACTCCTTGAGAGCATTCACGGGGGCGACGATAATCTCACCGGCGGCAATTTTGTTGACGACATCTTGATCAAGAGGCTTCCAGAGTACAAGTCAGCAAGATTGCGCACTCCCAGCTCTTGTGTCTCTCCAACATGCCTTGATACGAGGCGGAGCCTCAGGAGGCAAGCCTGCCTCTTCCGCCGTGCGCTTGACACCTCGCGGGGGGACTGCGTCGACATCCATGGCCTCGGCCATCGTGTGTAGTACTCAGATGCGGAAGGGTCTGTTATGCTTTGCTGACAAGTCCATCGTCAGCTGAGAAGTGGTGACTTCAAGATGGCACTGTGCTTGCCTAGAGAGATAGATGTACGTGGACTTGTAAATACAGGCGAGCCGCATAATGTGGGGGAAACGCGACGTCACATGCCCTGGACTGACCAGAGAGCCTGATCTTTAGCGAGGCCTCCTCCTCCACCGCACCCAAAAGTGCAACTAATCCACATCCCTCGACCTTTTTTTTGTTTGTTGTCGAGAGGAATCCTGCAAGCTCCCATCCGTGTCCTCCCTCCAAGGTCGAGAACAAGACATCCGGAGCAGCGGCCTCTCTCGCTCCAGTCACGAAAGAGAGAATCTGGCCCATGGACGAACACCGGTAGCACGAGCAGCAGCAGCAGCGCCGCCCGTAGACCACTCACCATGGCTATGAACTTCGTGACGTTCAATCAGGACTACAGCCATCTGGCTGTAGGTACGTGACTGCCATGATTCCTCTGCCACTGTGTGCACGACCTGACTTCCTTAGGCACCTCGAGAGGTTTTCGCATCTTCACCACCGAACCATTTGCAAAATCCTTCGAATCCCGAGATGCCGGCAACGTTGCTATCCTCGAAATGCTTTTCTCTACCTCTCTGGTGGCCCTCATCCTGTCTCCGAGAAGACTTCAGATCAAGAACACGAAACGAGACCTGATAATATGCGAGCTCACCTTTCCCAACGCCGTCCTCGCCGTACGCTTAAATAGAAAGAGGCTGGTGATTGTGCTGGAAGATCAAATCTACCTTTATGATATCCAGACCATGAAACTGCTGTACACGATTGAGACCTCCCCGAACCCTGCAGCTATTTGTGCCCTTTCTCCTTCCCAAGACAACTGCTACCTGGCATACCCTCTGCCTCAAAAAGCGGTGGCATCGTCCTTTGCTCCACCTTCTCACGCTCCACCCAACAGCACACACGTTCCTCCAACTACCGGAGAGGTTCTGCTGTTCGATGCCGTCAAGCTAGAAGCCATCAATGTCGTGGAAGCTCACCGGTCTCCACTTTCTTGTGTCATCTTCAACAACGAAGGAACCCTGATGGCTACGGCGTCGGACAAGGGCACTATTATCCGAGTCTTTTCGGTCCCAGATGCACACAAACTCTACCAATTTAGAAGGGGCTCCATGCCTTCCAGGATCTACAGCATGGCCTTTAACATAACCTCGACCTTGCTTTGCGTGTCCTCGGCCACAGAGACTGTCCACATTTTTAAACTGGGTCCACAACACAACCGGGCCACGGAAGAGGGAGAGGAACCTGCTTCACCCAGTAAAACGAGCAATACTGCAAGCAGGAGATTGAGTCAAGGCAGCGACACTCTCGTGGACCAACCAGTCGATGAGGAGGATGGTGCGGAATCCCCAACTGCTATGGCAAATCGCAAGCCCAACGGAACCTTCATGGGCCTCCTCCGAAGGACGTCGCAGCATGTAGGAATTAATCTGGCCTCTACGGTAGGAGGATACCTCCCGAAAGGAGTTGCTGAAATGTGGGAGCCGTCAAGAGACTTTGCGTGGATACGACTCCCGCGATCCAGCTCGGGTGCTCCCCCAAGTCAGTTGCGCAGTGTGGTGGCCATGAGTGCCAATTCACCCCAGGTCATGGTTGTAACGAGCGAGGGGAATTTCTATGTGTTTACCATTGACTTGGCAAAGGGAGGCGAAGGGACTTTGACGAAGCAATACTCGTGAGTGGCCACCTTCTCCCGCTATGCTCCAGTGTAAACGTGCTGACAGGGTATAGGGTTCTTGATATAAATGACAAGATGGGGACATCGGGGATGGACTTTTGACTTGCACAAACACAAAATGATGATAAGGAGCAGGCTTTACAATCGGCCAAGGATCAGATATTGACGTGCACCCAACTTGTGATATTTAGCGCTGGCGTTTTGGCGTTGTGATATACGAAGGAAGCACATTTTATTATTGCTTTTGCAATAATACCGAGCGGGAATGTGGGAATGCGGGAATGAGGGAAGGGAGGGAGGGCGGGCGATAATGGGTTTTCCTTTTCAAAAGATGAACGAGCTGGAGATGCAAAGGCCCACTCCGACTCGACTCGATGTGAAGCCGTAGTAGAAAAGCGGTGGATTTGACTTGAGAAACCAGACGAGATATCAACACAGCACTAGTGAATGTGATTGTGGATCGAGGAGTTCAACTTTGTAACGATGTGTGTTTGCAGCCAGCTAGCTAGCACTCTCATAACTCTCGTAATTCTCATTTGAGAGATTTTCCTTCCCGCTCTGACTGACTCTGGCTGGCTGACACGCTCGTCCAGCATATTGGAATTCGAATGCCTTTCTCTCGTTGTCCTTGACACGACCAAGTCGGAGCGCGCCTCTCAGCCTCATAGCCTCAAAATAACTTACAGCAACAACAACAGTGGCAGCAGTAGCACTGCAAGCCCCAACAGTCGCCTCTCCTTTTCGAGGCCGTATTCGCCAATTGTATGCCGTTCGCTGGATACGAGTCCCAGGTCCCATGTCCCAATCCCAAACGAAGAAAGGGCCAGCGAACTTCACCTCGACTCGAGTCCCGCAATCAGCAGCATATTGTAGAAGTTCAATGACTTTTCTCTCTGCCTCAGGGAAACCGATGTAGTCGAACAGCAGCATTCCGTCAACCCCCTACCCTGGTCTTTGGAAAAGAGTCGATTGGCCGGGATATATGTCACCGCCTCCAGCCGCAAAACTCAACCCCTAGGCTGTGATATCCTCCGGCGCTTCACGCATTAGCCAGCTCCATGTAATGTTCGGGTTTTCCGTGTACAGGCTCTACCGAGTCCATCTTCAGAGTTGCTCATGAGATTTCCCACCCAGGCTCCTCTTTCACCACGGGGGTTATATCGGCGATTTCTGGTTGGCATTGAATCGGCAATTCAGCCTCGAGCGTCGACTCCTTTTTGAGACCAACGGCTCGCTCGAAAAGAAGTTCGGCACTGTCGACAATGTCAAGAACCTTGTCTCGCATGGCTTGCCGCTCTTCAGGTCCCATCTCTTGACGTATCACCACACTAGTATACTCTCTCCGGATGTCTTCAGAAATGCCTTTGAGACCGCCGACTAAAGTATCTTTCAGCTCCTTCAGCATTTGCGTGATTAGTTTGCGGACGTCGTTGGCGACATCATCAAACATGACCATCTTCCTGTCCTCCACGTACCGCTCCATTGTGTCCCTGATCCGTTTGAAGCACCCTCTGCCTTCCTCACGGGCGCAAGCGTCGTAAACTTCTTGCATACGGTTAGACATCAGAGGTTCAAACTCCCGATTGAAGGTGCGTTGTTGCTGGGTTACCCAACTATTCGCATCCTTGATTATGACATTCATCTTTTCTTTATACACGGGTATCTGTTGCTTGAGCAGCTCAAAAATGATCGCCGAGACGCCGTTGCGGACAGCGCGGCCCTCAACATCTTCGTGGAAAACGGTGATCCTGTGAGCTACGATCAGCGGGAGTTGCATGAAGATAACGGGCAGGCTGCGACTGAAGACAGATTCCCAAGGTCTGGCGAGTTGTCGAATCAGTGGTTCGATTAACTGCTCGTTGAAATTGTGACAGCCCCGGTGGTTCGTAAAGCGTCCATCGCGGCGAACCACGGCTCTATACGTCGACCAGTAGAGACCTCCTGCCGCTGGATGATCCTGATTGACAGGCGATCCCCATTTGCGAGCAATTTCGGCTGCTTTATTTTGTGCTGCCGCTGTAGCGCTGGCGTACGCTTCAAAGACTTTGCATCGAAGCTGGTCAGAAAATTCATCAATACTTGTGCCACATGCATCTTCCAGGGCCTAGCGACGGTCAGCAAGAATAATCTCCATGCGCACAAAAGGCGCTGATCACTGGTTACGCAGAAAACTTACCGAATCAAGGCTGTTGAGCCTCTCTTCAAGAATTTGGGCTTCTTGGTCTAACCGCATCGCTGCGAGCCTATTTGCAACGTTGCCATGCGCAACCCATAGACGGAGAGAGTTGAGCAGTTGAAACAAGCTGGTAAGAAACTTGCGAGAAGATGCTTGACGCGCAGTAGCTGTCAGCTGCACGCAGTGAGCTTGCAGGGCCGGAACTTCCGTCTCCTCTAGGTGCTGAAAGCCTGGAGGAGCTTTGTCCCTGCGAAATCTGCCCATCAACTTCTGATACGCACGAGAAGATACGCAGAAGACGGGTAGATTGCGAGCCACTTCGTCGTAATCGCGGGCATCCATGCTGGGGTCGAAATTCTCTGGATCATCTTCGTCGGCCAGCTCTTGATCTAGTTCACGGATACCAGCAGCATAATCACGGGCAATTGCACGTCGTGCATACTCGTTCCGGCCTTTGATACACTGTGCGAGAATCTTTGCGGAAATGCTCTTCTGCTGTGTGTCGAATTCTCCAACTTGAGCCTTCAGTGTTTGAATCTTTTCATCAATCTCGCGCTTCTCGCCGCGCAATGTTTTTTTGGTTTTTGTGATCTCGGCGATCTTGGTTGATATATCGTGGTCTGTAAGTGGCTGGGTATGACCGTCACTGGGGTTTGATGATGTGTGTTCTGACCCGATATCTCCAGCACACTCCTCGCTGCTAGGGGAAAGGTCACCGTCAGGACCAGGCTCGGTGAATTTTGACCATTTCACCCTGTGGCTGATCATTTCTGAGAATTTACGCTTCAGAAATTCTCTCGGGGGCCTGGTGACACTTGTGTCGTCTCGCAGCGTTCCCCAAACTTCGAGTTCATCATCCGCGGAATCTAGAGCAGCATCAACTTCATCCTTTCGGCGTTCAAGATCTGTGATCTGCTTTGCGGATACATCCTTCTGCTTTGACAAATCTCCTTCTTCTGCCCACAAAGTAGCCTGCTCTTCCACCAGATCAAGAGAATCCTGGGCCTCAGTCACTGAGATCTCGTCGGACCTACTGCAGACAAAAGTAACTGAATTGAGCCCTCCATCCATCTTCAATTGACGTTTGAAAGAGTTGCCTAGTAGGGTCTTGGCAGATTTATCGTTAACTGCTCTTGTGATGGGTGCAACAATCAAGAGTCCGGTACATTGTTTCATGTAGTCCTGTGATGACATCAATATCAACGAAGCCTCGTATGAAAAGTGTAAGGAAGCCGGTGTACGCCGGTCGATGACTTACTCTAGCGACCGCTGCGCGAGCCTGGTTGCTATCATGAACTCCTGGGAGATCGACGAGCACTGCACCAGTGGCTAGAGCAGGAGCCATGACATAAAGTTTGACAACCCGAATCAGGGGCCAAAACTCCGCCTCCTTCTCATGCTCTGCCCGTTCTTTGAGTCCAATAGTCTTCTTCTTCTTACTGTCTACAAAGGGCTGCAATTCCTTGTAGAACGCGTCAGCATCGCTCGATTCAATGCTGAGCTTAGCGCCTAGATAGGCAACGTTCTTATGCTCCATCAATGCTTCGATGGGTGCCTCATCAATTTCCTCTTTAGTTAGCCATGGATATATTGCCTTCACCTGAGCATAGGCGACAGCAGAGTCGGAGTCTTCGTTCATGTTGTTCTGGCCCGAGCGATCGTGGAGATCTTGGAAGAGGACTTTCAACGTTTTCCGCCAGTCATCCCTTGAGATAAATTCGACCTCAGCTCTATATGGAGCACCTCCGTGGTTGTTGTAGCTGATTTCCGTCACAACAGCGGTACAAGCTCGCATGCAGCTGGTCGGAACTAAACGTTCTTCGTCGAGCACGGCATTGATGATAGAGCTTTTGCCTGCGCCAGTCGCGCCGACAATACCGATGACCGTTTTGGCAGGGATAGCTTGGGATTGGACATTCTTAGTTGCTTTAGACATTCGACTTACGTCTGGATCAGAGACTTCTCCCAGGGTTTGCTTGATCTTCTCCAGCAACTCTTGGCCTTTTTCAACGCACTTCTCAAGCTGCTCCGGCGTACGATCATCGAAGAGGTCAGACATAGTTAACCGAGCAGTTGCACCAGCCTGGGAACTCGGCTTGTCTTGAAGATCGCTGCGAGGATACATACTGTCGGCCGGGCCGTTGTACGCAGGGATCATTTTGTCCTGAAAACCGGAAGATGATTCCCACCGTGGATTCGCACGTTCTGTTCTGGGGCTCAATGAGCGAGGACTGAGCTTGGATAACAGAGAAGAACCGTGCGCAGCTATCAATGCCGCTTTTTCTCTCAAGGCAAGCGTAGATCGCGGTGTTTCTTCTGTGGGCTGTTTTCCTGGACTAGTGCTCTGTATCTGCTTCAAGCCTCCCAATTTTTCGCATACGTGTTGAGGGGCGCAGCCACTGACTTCCTTCAGTGCATGGGGCACCAGGGCATCCGTGGCCTTTCTTTTACCAAGGACTTCGTCACGCAGAATTCCAAGGACAACCAACTCACCAGGATGGTGGCTGATTAGTGAGGTTGTGTTGAGAAATCCCTCAGTACTTGTGAGTTTATGTCTGGGAGAAGTTACCTCAACTCGGTTAGAATTGATATGGTTTCTGCTGAAAGATTCGAGTGCATCACATGTCAGGTAAGATGAGACCAGGACAAGACTAGGCGTGGCATGAAATTTCTTCTACCACCTCACAATGGGCTCACCTTCGCGATAGGATCTCGAGGTTCAGTAGGGAAAAGGAGGTGAAGAACTGAGGTTGAACTCTCTCGAGTCGGCATGAAGGTAGACGGAAATCTACCAAGGGCACTTACAGTAAGATTCACCTTATGAGTCGATGGTCACGTTGAGTAGTTAAAGTCAGTGAGGAAAGAGGTGAGTGGAATTGGTGAGAAGAGGCAGGAGCGGATCAACGCGTCACGCGTGGACGAACGCGTCTGTTAAATGGCACGTGAAGGGCCAAGTCACGACGCGGCGCTATAAACGGCGGATCATAAGGACACAAGCTGTAATTAACTAATGGCCGCTTTTCTGCTTCGACGTAATAATGCCAAGAATGACAAGTATTCAAATAGCCTGCGGTGGTGGAATCACTCCACTCCTCGCAGCCACCAGCCAGTGCTACGCCTGCAAAGTGGATGACATGAATAATTCAACCGAACAATTCAGCGACGTCCCATTGAGCAGTACCGAGTACAGCAGCCTAAAGCAGCATCCGGGGCCATGTTCCTGATTCAGCCCAATATGCCTTTCGCAAAGATCGGCCCGCCATCTCCTCAGGGCCTACGAGCCGCCGCGCCGCCATCGGTTGATCCTCGGACAAGTGAGATCATCTGTCTACTCAGACTTGTTCTCTTCTCTATGAAAAGGATGTGTTCCTTGCCGCATATTTCTTTTGGACGCTGAAGATACTAGAAGACTGTGGTCGAAATCTTATGTCTCAGACACCTTAAATGTCCCGGAATCCTCAGCTTCGTGTTTCAGGCACATCTAGCTGAGCGTTAACCCATTCGATCCTCTTCGGAAAGTCCCTCAAGACATACGAAACCCGGCAGAATGCAGGTCAATAATTCCTCGTCATGTGGAAGCTCCACGGTCGTCCTGGAGATGCCCTTGAGATCTCACCAGCCTGAGGAGCCAGGAAAGAGCCCGCCTGTCTACGAGGACATATCAGCCGGAGCCTTGCCCGCTCCCTCCACTGCTACGCCTCAATTACAGAAATGGAACTCTCCCAGAATCAACATGTGGCGCTGTCTCGGGACCTTCTATTCCTTTATCATATTAGGTGCCAATGATGGTGCATACGGAGCTTTGATACCCTACCTCGAAACATTCTACGGCGTCAATTACACAGTTATCAGTCTCATCTTTCTGTCGCCAATAGTGGGTTATACGATGTCTGCACTTTTGAACAACTACATTCATACAATATATGGACAAAGAGGTGTTGCGTGGATCATGAGCACCTCCCATTTGTGCGCTTATAGTGAGTACGCTAATGTTAAATCCCATCCATGACTAACCTGGCGCCATAGCTATCATATGTGTTCATCCGCCTTATCCTGTTTTGGTAATAGTGTTTATTCTTGCCGGGTTTGGCAACGGCTTGGGCGACAGCGGATGGTGGGCTAAAGTCACTGATCGTCTGGGGTCAAGAATGCTGATTCTGTTTATAGGAATGCCTGGATTGGTGACATGGCCAATCCAAACGAAGTGCTTGGCTTCTTACATGGCTTTTACGGTCTTGGTGCAGCCCTCGCTCCTCTAATTGCGACAACACTAGTTACGCAGGCGGGCTGGCGGTGGTACGAATTTTACTATCTTATGGTGGGTGCAGCATTTATTGAGGTCATAGTTCTCGTGGGAACTTTCTGGAAAGCAGATGGTCGGGCCTATAACGCCGAGCACCCTCAAACTGCCGACCTCGATACCTCAGAATCAAGCACTCCGACCACCTCGGATAATGCGGTCGCCGCTAGGCAAGTCGACAAGAAACAAAGCATTTTTTCAAGGCTCAATCCACGTGGCAAAAGAGCAAAGGGCAAGAGCAAGACTCTAGAGGCGGTCAAGCAGAGAGTAACCTTGATTGCCTCAGTGTTCCTGCTTATATATGTGGGTGTCGAAGTCAGTGTTGGCGGTTGGATCGTGACCTTTATGTGGCGTGTCAGGAAGGGCTCGCCGTTTGCCTCTGGGCTCACATCGATGGGCTTCTGGCTCGGGATCACCGTCGGTCGATTGGTCCTCGGTTTCGTTACCGCTCGGTTATTCAAATCGGAGAAGCACGCGATCGCCGTGTACTTGTTGTGCAGCGTGGCCCTCCAGTTGATGTTCTGGCTCATTCCGAACTTCGTCGTCAGTGCGGTCATGGTTGGCTTGCTGGGCTTTTTCCTAGGACCTCTCTTCCCCGCAGCCATTGTGGCGCTTACCAAATTGCTCCCGAAGAAGCTGCACGTACCCGCTGTGGGGTTTGCCGCTGCTTTCGGAGCGAGTGGTGCATGTGTGTTGCCGTTCGCTGTTGGAGCGATTGCGAATGCCAAAGGAGTCAAGGTGCTACAGCCCATCATTCTGGCTGCCTTGGTATTATGCCTGGCTGTGTGGTTGCTGATTCCCAAGCTCCCGAAACAGAGAATGGCCTGATCTGCTGAAGATGCTTTCCAATCAAATCGATTTGATTGAGGCCGCTATTTATAGCAAAGTGCCTGAGGCTCTTCGCAGCGGCGTACTTGGTATAGGGTTAGCCGCAGATCTCCCAATGGCGGGATCTCATGCAGGTCATCGACGGAAGGAACGTGCATTCGGGGCGCCGTGATTACGAGATAGGCGTTTGGTCTTTCGGTGCATATCTAGGATCCCCTATACACCCACCTCCTACCTCATTTGCTCGTCAGGGAATTATTGAAGAACTTTGAAGAGATGCGAAGGAGGAAAAAAGGGGAAAATGGCGCAAATGGCGCAGCCTCAAAAGTGAAACAAGTGGAGCCGAAAGGGGAAGCGACAACCGAGGTGCGCTAGTCCAAATATGGAAATACGGGGAGGCAAGGGATATTCAGCTTCGTGACCAAGTTTTTTCGATTCTCGACGCCCTTGTCCATTATCCGTATTCATTTCAACGAATTCCGTCTTTGCATCTCTCTGTATCCTACAATTCGTCCCCATCATGATCATCTTTGCGCAATCTTTTAATCTCATTCCATAGACTAGTCCCATTGGTCCTATTGGCTGTCTGCCCTGAAGGCGTAAAGGGGTAAAAGGCTGCCCCTTTGTCGCGTCTGGAACGCGTGTTTCGCCACCGACGACATTGTTTCTTGTCATTTTGGGAATATCGACTTGGTTGACATCTAGCTTCAACATCTATCTTGGGTATTGGGTATTTTTCAAACAGTCTACAACACAACAAAACCCTCCCGATGCGATCTCCTGGAGGCATGTTTACTCCAAGGCATGCGCCCTTGAAGGAAGGGCGTTCTTTTCCAGGCCTACCATATGCTGGTCCAACACGACGAAGTCTACGATCACGGCAGGGTCTTGTTATCATTATAGTACTCCTATGCATTCCCCTAATATATCTTCTCACCTCTGGAGGCGCAAGTTCGACGATTCAGCCGCAAATCGTATCGTCTCCTGACAGATCGAAGGAACTATCATCAGATCATGACCCCATATTCCGAGCATCTCCAAACGAGGCCTCCAATCAAGGGCAGTCATCAGGCAATGTGATTGTGCACGACCCCACGGATCCAAAATCAAATCCTGAGATGAGGTTTGAGGCTCCTCCGGTTGAGCCCCCAGTGCAAAACCCGAAGACCCGACTGCAGCCAGAATCGGCGGATGAAGGGCCTGTTCTCTCGAAACAGGATGATGTGGCTGCACAACCAAAGTCATATTCTCCCAAAGGATCCGGCCATTCAGGTTCAACCAACCCATCCACTCACTGGAGCACATTCTCAGAACGCCCGAAATTCGAGAAGGCTCTTGCACGAGTCATCAGTCTTCTTCCGGGTGAGATGGAGGGCAGAGACTTGCTACGAGCTGTTGAAGGTACTGGGAAGGAGAAACTACGAGAAATGGGTCTGCGGGTTCGCGAATATAAAAAGTTCTTTGAGGCTTGGGAAGAACTTCATCTCACGTTCGACGAGGAAGGTGGCAGCTATGTGCGGGACGACGTTATCCAGTATCTGCGACACCATCAGCACCAGCCCTCGGCCGACGACATTGGCGAGTCCTCTCTGGCTCAGACCATCCACTCCTACGAGGCGTACCGATACTTTTTGGTCAAGTTCGGGCAACTCCTCTTCCCGTGGACAGCGCCTTACTTCCCTGATCATATGACTCTCCACTCCCACTTTAAAAAGGGGGGTAGGGGTATCGTCCTGACAGCAGGCGATGATCAGGCTCCTTTCCTGCTCACCATCATCCCCACCTTTCGAAAGCTGGGGTGCACACTACCGATCGAGATTATGTACTTGGGTGACTCAGACCTCTCTGAGGATTACCGTTCTGACCTGGAAAGCCTGGATGGCGTTCTTACTCGGGACATTGCCCAGATGGTCAACGACGAAGGCTGGAAATTGGCCGGCTGGGCCGCAAAGCCATTTGCAATCCTATATTCCAGTTTCCGCGAAGTCATCTTTATTGATGCCGACAGTCTGTTTTTCGTCAACCCGGAAACCTTGTTCGAGGATCCTGCATACCAAAAAGCTGGTGCTCTTTTCTTCAGGGATCGTCTGATTATGCCTGAATCGAAGAAGCGGTGGCTACAGCAGATTCTGCCGAAGCCAATTTCGAGACAAGTGAAGCAGAGCCGGTTTTGGACGGGCGATAGCGGTCACATGCAGGAATCGGGTGTGATTGTGGTAGACAAATGGCGCCACTTTATTGCTCTTCTCCTGGTTACGAGAATGAATGGGCCTGATCGAGATGGCAATAAAGACGAAGGCAGAGTCGGTATTTACGACATGGTCTACGGTAGGCTTTGTCTAATATTCTGTTCTGGTACCCGTTACTAACAAACTTTGCAGGTGACAAAGAGACCTTCTGGCTTGGTTGGGAGCTTGTGGGAGATCAAGACTATGCCTTCCATCAAGGTGACGCTGGCACAATGGGTGTCGTCCAAGACCACAAAGACGAAGAAAGGAAACCTAGAATGGTGAAAAAGAAGAGGCCGGTCATGGACGAAAATGGTCAGCCCAAATTGGACGAGAATGGTCAAGAGATTACGGAAGAATACGAGGTCGCTGAAGAGCCCGAAGAACACGAACCCGAGGAGCGACCGGAGCCGTCGAATTATACCATCTGCTCTCCGCAGCTTCTTCATTTGGACTTGAATGGCAAACCACTTTGGTTCAACGGCTGGCTTCTGGACAACAAGTTCGCTGACAAGAAACAGAAGAAGTTTGGCAAATTCGAACACTACCTGATTGAACCCAGGGATATCAGAGAGCCGGGCGCTTGGCAACTCGAGGAAAGCAATATGTGCTGTCTGACCACGGACGCAGATCTAAAACGAGATTTTTCACCAGAAGAGAAGGATATATTGAACATGATGATCAATCAAGCCAAGGAGGTCGGTGTCACGGCAGGATGAGAATATCAGGAAAACTCACCACGTTGGAAAGGCCCGGAACTCATTTGCAAGGAGTTTGAGAAAGCATTTAATAAAGGGCGTCATGATTTTTCTTGGATGCGATCTTGGGGATACTATTACATCGCAGATACCGACTTGATTTAGCAAAGTGTCGTTATACAAAATCCTTTTACAGCCTACAGCCTACAGCCCACAGCCCACGACCTGGGTACCGCGGGTTATCAGTTTGGCACCTCTATTCGACCTGATGTACAAGCCAAGAGAACAGGACGAGTTGAGAGTCAACCTATCATCAGTCAAACCGACCATCTTCACAACGCTTCACAACGTTGAGTGCCTCTTTCTTATCTTGGTCATTCGTTCAACGGAGAAGTTGAGAATCATCCATCGACTCGGTCGAGAGGTGAGAATGGCATAACACGGATATCCCGAGTGGTTCTGGGGAAGAGGGGGGACACGAGTCCGTCGGGACCAACTGAGCTCGAAATACGGCGTCTCGGATTTCACAGGGAAGATTCTGGGTTCTGGGTTCTGGCGTATCTGTGGGAAAGAGTACATCGGAGAAGAAGTTGTACTGGTGTGCGTGGTGTTGGTCGTGATGGCACTGGGGTTGCTGGAGGTATATCATGCTATGTCTTAGGCACTTGTGCCAGTAAGCTAGATTGCGAAAGCTATGGCTGTTGAGATAGAAATATGTACATGTGTCGAGCTTGGTTAAAGTGCCTGTAGGTACTTATTCGTAGAGGTATGGTTGTACTCGTACATTCGCATCCCGCCCGAGTAGATGGCTGTCTGGGCTGGTCAGTCATCCAATCAGACGCCCGGCCTCGCAACTTGACTGGATTTTCTACCGTCTTTCTCAAACGTCTTCATGAACGGACAAACTGCAAACTTTCCGGGATCCTCGTTCTGTACGGGCCCTGCCGTGATGATTTTTGATTCCATGAACCTATGAGGCTATATGTAATGTGTACAGACAATTACCTCGATTGGGATCTCAGCCTCCGGCTCGAGGCTTGAGATTGGGCCATTGATTGGCACCACGACCTGAGCGTGAGGAGATACTAGCCTTTAGGAAGGGTTGCCAACGGCAGAAATGACGAGACCTCGACCACAGCACCAGCACCAACATCACCAGTCGCAACAAGAGGGTAAACCCAAGCAGAGGAAAGACAAGACCCCGAACAATCCACTGGTCCGGGGTATTTCAGCGTTCTACACAGAATGGCAAGGTCGTCGTTGTCGCATTGATCCTGCGACTGCCACAGACGACAACGCGACTTTCGTTCCAGCTCCTCGCCATGGTGAAGGAGATGACCCGCCGCTCGCAGCATTAGCTATCGCGGACATGCCGAAGCGGTATACACTCTACCCGCCGCTCCTGCTCCTCCCGCCAAACTTCACTGCGCAGAATACGCGATGGACGGCATTCTACGACGCGCTTGACGGGTGCAACAAGGCGGAGCTGTTTCGATCCATCGCCGAGAAAGGGTTCAAGGGAATGGGGATCTCGCGGATCGCAATCAATGCGCCCATCGCGGCCGAGGTCGAGCATGAAGAGGATGTCGAAGACGCCATCAACTTCCGCGGTCCCGTCACGACGCAGAGCGCTACCACCTGGGAACAGAATGTCCTCCGCCATCCCTCAGGCCTGGTCCCGGTTTACGGTGACTGGGGACCCGTGCTCGACGAGCGACAGCACCGAGGCAAGATCCTCCACCCTTCGACCGAGGACTTTGACGCCGCTTTCTGGACGAGCGCGACCCAGACCCAGCACCACGGCATCGTGCAGTGCTGGGCACCGCTGTACACCATGTTCAGCCGCGGGAACGTCTCCGAGAAGGCGCGGATTCTGGGCCTGCAATCCCGGTTTCCGGGCCTTACCACTGCTGAACTGCACGGGCAGCTCGGCCTCGTCGATGTGGTCGATTTCTACGTCGGCATCGGATACTTTGCCTCTTGCTATCTGTCAAAGGGCGTGCGACGGGTCTATGGCTGGGACATCAATCCGTGGAGCATCGAGGGGTTGAGGAGGGGATGCAAGGGAAACGGATGGCGGTGCTTGGTACTCCAGGTTGATGAGACGGGGAGCCTACAGGGGTCGGGAGGCATCAAGGGAATGGTCGAGGAGATTGCCAGGGGCGATCGCTCAGGCGAGGCCGACACAATTGTCAGATGTGTAGCCTTCCTCGGAGACAACAAGTGGGCACGGAAGATCTTGCAGGAGATGCAATGTGAGTATGAAAGGATTGGCTACAACGGAGGGGAGACAGCGTCACGGCTCAACATCAGACATGCTAATCTCGGTCTCCTTCCTTCGGCGCGATTGAGTTGGGAGGACGCTGTTAAGATCGTCACAGGCCTGAGTGAGGGTGGAACAGGTGGATGGCTGCATGTCCATGAGAACGTCGATATGCGGAAAATTGACGTGATAGGCGAAAGAATTGTGAGAGAAATTGATGGACTGGCACAGCGAGAAGCCCGACGCCCTTACGCCGCGTCCGGCGTCCATGTTGAACAAGTCAAGACCTACGCACCTGGGGTCATGCATTGCGTATTCGATGTCGAGATCAAACCCAATGGCTGAATCTCTTTTTTCCCCTCCACCCCAATTTCATTTTGTGTCTATTGTTACAGATATTTCCATATCACGTAGCCAGCCAGGAACGCCTGCGCAAAAGTTCAGGGCTGTCTCCTAAATTTGAGCGGGATGTTCCTCTCCACAATGCTCTGTTGTTGTTCTCTCAGTATCCGATATTCCTCATCTTCCCTCATGTCGTGTTTTTTGAAATGCTCTATATCTTCGGGATGGATCAGATCCTCCTCTCTCGTGTTCTCGTCATGGTATTTCTCAAAATGGTGGATCTCATACTCGTATTCGTCGTCGCCGTGATGGCCTGGGCCTAATCCAGAGTCTGGGAGTTTCTTGCCGGATCGTATGCCCTCGAGCCACTGGTCACGGGTAATAAGGCCGGTGCTATGAGGGTCAAAGAGTTTGAAGACGTTGAGAACGGCTCTGTCTTTCGCGTCGGCGGGCGTGGCTATCAAAGATTCGTCGTCCAGGCCATATGTTCGGCGCACTTCGTCGGGTGTCCACGCGCCATCGTTGTTGAAGTCATGGAGTGCAAAGAATGAGGCCGGATCGAAGTTGGAGATATCTGTGCATGTCCGTCAAAAACCCATGTCCACTCGACCCGCGATTGATAACACGTACGGTGTTCTTCCTGCATATGGTACAATGCCCAATCTTCCGCAGGATTGGCCAGCTCCTCTTGCGAATGAGAGCCATGAGCACTGGCCAGAGCGAGAACCGCAATGAACGCGGCCACGATAGCCCCCATTGCAGCTGTGAACTTCGTCTGAATTTAGTGAGCGTGGTTGGAATTGAGGTTTGGCCCGCAGCGTGGATTTGTATGGTGGCTTTGTTACAATGAGGAATGACATAATATTGCAGGGGATGGAATGCCCTTGACCCACGCGAGGGGCCCCTGGCTAACTAAGGTGGAGTGCGTTTGGCCGACAAATGCGGCGCTTTGCCTTCGTTTTTTCTGGCTCGCGTGCGCGCCATGGTGGACAAACTGGACTGGGTTGAAAGTGCAAGAAAAGATAGACAGAGTAGACGTAAATTGCGGCTCATAGGCACTAGGATGATCCCTGGCACAGAGGAGGCATCTTAGTGACCAATGGGCCAGAGGACTTTATCTATGAGATGGGCGCTCCCCCTTCCTTCCTTCCACATAGTGCATGTTAGAGGGGGAGTGTGACTACTACTACAACAACGATAGATTTGATGCATTGAGGTAGGAAGGCATCGGGTAGACAAACCCATCCCGATTTTCCAGTCATGTAGTGAATTCGTTTGCTTGCCTGCGCGTTGCCCTTCATCCCCAACTCTCTGTCACTGTGTTTTTCTTCCTTCACCACCTGGAAAAATTCACTTTTCATCTTCCCATCTATCATGGGGAGATCGGTTCCGGCCATATTTCCTCCTTGACTCTTGCATCCTCAAACCTCATTTCGCGCTCGACAGGATGGCGCAAACCGATGAACTCGCCGTCGTGGAGGGCCACAGCTCTACGCATCATCTGGATCAGTCTCAGCCAGCCGACCTCACAGACTCCGAGGACGAATTCCCCCCTGAGCCGACCGATCTAGATGGCTATGCCGAGCGAGAGGCTAACATGGCAACTCTCAACAACTATCTCCTCGCTCACGCCAACAACGACGACGAGACCCTGACCTCCAACCATGCGAAGAACGAACGGTCTGACGCGATTATCGACCGAGCCCGTGAATATCAACAAGAACTGTTTGAAAGGGCAAAGGAAGAGAACGTAATCGCTGTCCTCGACACTGGGAGTGGCAAAACCCTCATTGCGGCGTTACTGATCAGACATTACCTGCAACAAGAACTGATCGATCGAAGTCACGGCAAATCAGCAAAGATCGTCTTCTTCCTTGTCAACAGCGTCCACCTTGCTCGACAACAGGCCCGGTTCCTCACCATCAACCTGTCACAGAACGTCATCCCCTTGTTCGGCGAGGCCTCGGACAACCTGTGGGAAAGGGTTGAATGGGACAGAATCTTTGCTGAAAACAGTGTTGTCGTGTGCACAGCTTCGGTGCTAGACTCGTGCCTCATGAGGTCCAACCTGAAAATGGGTCAGATCTCACTGCTGATCTTCGACGAAGCCCACCACTGCAAGAAGAACCACCCGTACTCGAAAATCATTCGAGATTACTATGTCAAGTGGAAAGGTGACAGACCTCGTATCTTCGGCATGACGGCATCTCCTGTCGACTCGAGGCGGGACATCGATAAAGTTGCTGAGGACTTGCAGTCACTATTGCAGAGCAAGATCGTGACCACGAATGACCTGTCCGTCTTTGACTTTGCACCTCGAGCCGAGGATGTCATATGGATGTACCCTCCACTAGAGGCTGAGTTTGAAACTCCTCTATACTCACAACTCATGCCCCTATGCGGCTTGGTGGAGGACTTGCAGCCGACCTTCCGTTTCGCATACACAGCTTCCCGGAAACTTGGCGCGTGGGCTGCAGATAGAGTCTGGCAACACGCTATTCCGACCTCTGAGCACGAATCCACCGTTATGCTTCGCAAGTTTGAACGAACCCAGACTTATATGGAGATGCCTGACAACGAGAGCCGTGTGGCAGCTTTGAAATCAATCGGCGAGGCCGTCTCGATCATACGAAAACATCGCTTCGAGGCTCCACAGGTCGATTCGGATTGTGATCTATCTCCCAAAGTGAGGAAGCTTCATAGCGAACTCAAGGATCGGTTCGCCCGTGAAGCTACGACTCGGTCAATCGTATTTGTCGAGGAACGGATGACGGCAATTCTGCTTTGTAGCCTGTTCGAATCACTTGCTCTCCCAAACCTACGACCCGGCGTCCTCATGGGTGTCACACCAGAGTCGAATATCAGGGGTTCGTGGAAAGACCAAGAGGCTGTCATGGAGAAGTTCCGCAGAGGAATCATCAACATCATCTTTGCCACCAGTGTCGCTGAAGAAGGCATTGACATACCTCAATGCAACTTGGTGATCAGGTTTGATTTGTATAAAACACCAATTCAGTACATGCAGAGCCGTGGCCGGGCACGGATGAAGGGCTCTATTTTTGTTCACATGGTCGAAAAGGGCAACCAGTCCCAGGAAGCAGAGGTCAATTTTGCTCTGGATCAAGATGACTATATAAGGAGGTTCTGTCAACAGCTTCCACCCGATCGCCTGTTGGGTCAGGGCTCGAAACTGAAGCAGATGCTGGCCAACGATGCAAGTTGTCGCAGCTTCGAAACCTCTGCTGGTGTCCTCGTCAACTACTCGAATTCGCTCCTGCTCCTCAGTCGGTATGCCGAGTCCCTGAGAAAGGTGGGTGCGGTCTCTTCAGAGGTCTATGAGGAGATGATCGACGTCGAAGAAAACATGTTTCGGTATAAAGTTATATTGCCTGCCACGGCTGATGAGCGAACCGCTGCCGTCAAAGGCGCCAAAGGTGAGGCGCGAACAAACAAAACCCTCGCGAAGCGGTCCGCGGCCTGGCATTGCCTTTTCAGGTTGCGCAAAGCCCAACTGGTGGATGAATATCTCAACAGCATCTTCTTCAAAGCGAAACCAGCTAATTTCAATGCCAAAACCGCCGTCCCCCACGACAAGTACGAATACGACAGGAAGGTAAAACCGGATTTCTGGATTAAGAGTGGTGCCACCTCGCCGACGCTACCAACCACGCTTTTTGTCACCCATGTCTCCGTTGGGCCAAAATCACCCTCCTGGTGCACTGATGGCTTGCTGCTGCTAACACGCACTCCACTTCCAGACATTCCCACATTTCCTGCCTTTGTAGACGATGATATCGAGAAACAGGTCCAGTTCAATCGTCTCAGAGACCCAGTGGCAGTGACGCCGGCTCAGATCGAAGCACTAACGAAATTCACTCTTCGCGGTGTGTTCCACGACGTTTTCAACAAAGTCTATGCTGAGAAATCGACTTCAATGAGCTACTGGCTAGCACCTCCAGCAAAAGGAGAGTTGAAGGAGACTTTTGAGTCTGTTGTTGACATGGACGGGCTTTTAGCGGGGCAACTCGAAGACCGTCAGCGCTGGGAAAAGACCATCAGCGCGGCAGAGGCAGAGAAGCAGACCGAGAGATGGTGCAATGCATTTCTCGTTGACCCAAGAAGCGGAAGATACCGCTATTTCACAGGGAACGTCTTGCCAGGAAAATCTATCTGGGACCCTATTCCAGAAAGTGCAATGTCGGTCCAGAAGAGATTAAAGAGCAGCATCATCGAATTCTCCGACAGCACATGGAAAGTAAAGAGAAAAGATGCCCAGTCAACCGGCAGGACGTACGATCCAAATCAGCCCGTGTTGGTCGCTAAGGTTGCCATAGCAGGTCGCAATTTCTTGGAGAAATGCCGGAAAGATGTAACGCGGCAAGCCATATGCCATGTCGCTCCTCAACCGCTCGAATTGGGTCGAATCTCGTTCTCGGTGGCCGAAGCTTGTCTCCTGTGGCCCTCGATCCTGCATCGATTGGAGGGATATTTGATCGCCCAGGAGGCTCTTGCGAAGCTTGACCTTGGCCAGGTGCCTCTCGACCTTGCTTTGGAAGCTTTCACTCAGGAGGGTGGTTCCCTGAGTGACAGGAATAAAACCGAGTTACCAACTCTGAATGAGGCTGAAATTGAAGCACAGCTCGACGGGAAGGAATTGGGAGCGGCTATGAACTATGAACGACTGGAATTCATCGGCGACGCCCTCCTCAAGATGATGACCACGATCACAGTCTTCAACCGCACCACATGTGACGAAGAAGGAATGCATTGTAAACGGATGGACTTGCTCTCCAACCAACGGCTTTATGACACTGCATCTTCTCCTCACTACGAACTTTTTCGCTACATCCGCTCTGCAGATGAGCATTGGCGTGACACCTGGTACCCTGAATTCTTGGAGCTCGAGAAAGGTCGGATCATCAAACTGAATGACAAGCACCGCAAGCATGCGCTTGGAAAAAAGACCATAGCTGATGTCTGCGAAGCCACTATCGGCGCATGCATCATGACTAGTCGTCACTTGCCTGCTGAGGAAAAGTTCGACCTCGGGATCAAGGCCATCACTACACTCGTAGAACATCCAGACCACGCCATCGCCTCGTGGAAAGAGATCCTCCCAATTTACAAGCCGGCGCAGTGGGTAGCAGAGTTGAACGACCCAATTGCAAATGACATTGCGGACAAAGTCTTTGAAGCTACCGGCTATCGTTTCAAACAGCCACGTCTCGCTCGGTCGGCATTTACTCATTCCTCGGACCAGCTCTCACCAGTTCAAGACCTTCAACGCCTTGAATTTCTGGGTGACGCTTGCTTGGATTGGGTATGCGTGTGGTGGTTATTTTCCACAAATACGACTCGTGGTCCTCAATGGTTGACCGAGCACAAAATGGCCATGGTGTCGAACAAATTCCTCGCCGCGTTGGCGGTTGTCCTAGGATTCCACAAACTGGTCTACGCTTCTAGCATCGGTGTTCACGATGATATAGCCCGCTATGCATCCAAAGTCCAGAATGCCTTCGAAGAGGAGGACGTGGACCGCGATTTCTGGACCCGAGGGGCATTTGAAGGCCACGTACCAAAAGTCCTGGCTGACCTCGTCGAGAGTTATCTGGGCGCTGTACTCGTCGACTCTGGATTCGACTATCGCGAGATTGAGAATTTCTTTGAGAAGCATGTAAAATGGTTCTTCGAGGATATCGAGGCCTACGATACCTTTGCAAATCGACATCCAACCACGTACGTCCGTTGTCTGGTTGACCAAAAATTCCAGTGTCGAAAGAGTTCGCTCGTTGTCCGGGAAAGTCCGGTGGAGCCCACCACAGACGCCTTGAGAGACAAGAAACAAGGCGACGACCCAGACGACACATTGAGAGGACCAAATGGCGATGAAGCTGTGTCTGGGGTGGTGATGCACGCAGCTTGGATCGTGCATAGGAATGTGGTGGCCGTGGCCAAAGGACGAGGAGCGAAATACGTCAAGGTCCGAGCGAGCGAGAGGGCTCTGAAGGAGCTGGGCACATTGACAGGGGACGAATTCCGGAGTCGGTGGAATTGCGACTGTGCGAGGAAACGGACCAACACTACAGAGTGCGATGGTTAGATTGAATAGGGGCATATACCTGGCCGTGCAATGAGGGCAGAGGCAACGGATCACACAGCGTGACAAGTGCCACCGAATTGCGGATTGGGGAAAGGGAACAAAAAGATCAAACAAGCAAGCAAACAAGCAGAAGACTCTCGCCGAGGCAAGGGTAGCTAGTTAGCTGGACGCATGGAACCTGTATCTGCAAAGTGAGGCTGTTCATAATGAGTCTGTCTCCAACAAATCGTAAGGGAAAGAAGAGAAGATAAAAGGTTGAATGAAAATCAATGAAATAAATCCCCGCGTGTTCATGTCCTCCCTCTCCTCTCCCCCTTGTTTCCCCACTCTGCAGGTTGATTCCTGCTAGGACAGTCAGGTAGAGAGGTAGATTTTAATTTACCTATTTTAGCTAGAAAGTTAAGATATCTTCGCCCAGAACAGCCCCTTTCTTCTCCTTCATCTCAGAGATCTACGTGAACACGAACCCGTAGAGCCGATTCACTTCTCTCCCTCCCTCGCTACTTGTTTGGTCTCCTTTTGGCCGTCTCGCGTCTGCGGCCGTGACCCGGCGGTGTTGCCCGGTTGTACCGTCGGGCCGGGTTTGCGATTTTCGTCGCCACCACCATCACCACCGCCGGAGTCAGCAGTAGCAGTAGCAGTGGCGGTGGCACTGTCTTCCGGATCGTGCTCGGGAGGAAACAGTTCCTGTACCAGGCCCGGGAGGAACCTATCCAAGCGCCTCACCGTCTCGGGCCAGATTTGGATCTCGCCCTTCTCGTCCAGAGAACGTGGGCTGCGAGGAGTTTGGCTGGCCAGCGCAGCCTGTTCCTGGCGACCGAGATAGCCCGCCCCGTCCATGACGAGAAGCGTGTTCTTCACACCTTCGCGAACCGCCTCCGCGAGCGCGTCACCTTGGTGCTCAACCACGGTGCCGGCATTCATGAGGCGGTCGAGAAGCTCAAGAGTTTTGATCCAGACATCGGTCATTTTGTTCCCATTGCCCTGGCCCTTTGCCGTGGTCGCCTTCTGCTGTCCTTCGTCGACATCTCGTTCAGGTTCCTTTTCATCGTCGCTCTCCTCTTCTTCGCTCTGAGGAAGAAGTGGGATATCGTTGAGCCTGTCGAGATATCTCAGGAAGACCTTGCACAATAAGCCACCCATATGTGCTCGGGTCTCATTCATCCCAGGCGGGTCCAACTGATATATCTCGGGTTTCAGCAACCTCAGCGTAAGCGGGAACAATACCTCGTCGAATATTGCCGTCCATTCTGTGTGTTGGTCCTGCTCCGTTCCTTTTTCGTCTGCTACAGTCTCGGAGAGCAACGTGCGTTGCAGGGCTGACAACGCACGATGTCTGACTTCACGACAGGGGTTGACACACTGCGCACATAGGGCTCGGAAGATCGGACTCCAATATGCAGCCCAAGCTTCATTCCTCTCCAGATGGCTTTGATCAATGAGACCCGGGACACGATCAGACAACTGATAGATCAGCCCCACGGCTTTGGTGGCCCGCTGAACAACCACAATGTCTTCGGGTTTCGCAGGCTTGGCTTGCCGGCCATGTTTCGCGGCGAAGTCACGGCGTTTTTCTTGAATGGATCCGATTGAGCCGGCGGATGCAATGTCGTTTGCGAGGGAGATGGCGGATTCGAAGTTATCTGCCGTCAAAGCTTGCTGATCTTGTGACTTTGTTGGGGAAGGGGTGGAAAGGCGTGCTAGAATGTCAAATACGCGCTCTGCCTCTGTTTTGTGTTGATGGAGGCGCTGCAACGTCGACCAAAAGTCCGGAGATTTTGTAATCTCGTTGCGCAAGGCCGACGAAGTACCAATGGCGTTGGCGAAGCCCTGGATTATGGTCGACGCCGTTCGGTCAAGCACAGTGTCATCGAAGCTTGATATGGCATGGAGAACGACAGGAGCACGCATAAAGTCGTAGGTCTATGAGAACCTTTTGTTAGTAGGATGCCTTCACATGAACTTATCTGGCAGACTTACGTAGCTATACCGCAACAACTCCAGAAGGTAAAGCACAACCCTCGACGCAGCCAGAGGATGCAGATTCGAGGCATCTCTGACCGCATTCTGTAGGGCGCCTGTAAGTTGCTCTCCGGCTGCAGCGATGGTTTTGTCGTCTCTCAGGGTAAGCAGCGTGGCAAGCTCGAGGAGAAACACCGAGCCAGGATCGTACTCGGGCCCGGCTTTGGGCATGCGGTGGCCATTGACCCTGACGGTGACGGGCATGGGCCGTTCAGGTTTGACAGTCACGACTGGTGACATTTCTTCCATCTGAGACAGCAGAGCCGACACAATGGATTTGATTTGCGAAGCAGGAAGTGATGCCATATGCTGCAGGACAGTGTCTGGCCGGCAGGCCTTCACACAGTCAACACATGAAAGGGTATTCTCGAGCTCTTCCTCCGAAGGCTCCGGTGGATCGTCAGCGGCATAGCTTGAGAGGTACGACGTAAACGTCGAGAAGATGCCGCTATCGCTCAGTCGGCCATCTCGGTCGATGACTTGTGACGGTGGGTGCAGAGGGATCGAACCAAGGCCTTCGAATCTATCTTGCTCAAACTTTGGCAACGTGATGAGCGAGTTGACAAACAGGTTTCTTAGAATGCGCACGACGTAAATCCAAGTGTCGCCCACCGCTTCTTCATGACCCTGTAGTATCCTGAAGAGTAATACGGTCGCTAACTGGGCTCGAAAGTCTCTTCCAAGCCTGACAGCCATTTCACTGACCATGATTCTCTTCTTTCCAACCTGCACTTCCGTATTCAACGAAGTGCTAGGAGGAATTTCTGCTGCCAATCCGCTGATGTGACTGACGCTGTAGACAATGCGGTCAAAGGCCTCAGTGACTCCGTATTTGGCCGCGATCTGGGCGCATTGATCGAAACCAACCACGACTCGAGAGAAAACGGCATCATCGGAGGCTGACATGAAGACATAGCACAGAGTTGCCACGATCGGTTTCCAAGTTGCCTTGAACATTTCTGCGTCGAAGGCATTGGTATCGCACAGCTCCAGAGATCCGGCGTTGTGTGTCTTCAGCAAGAGCTCCTTCCAGGCATATTCAAAGGCATGTTTGTTCTCGTGCTCGTCGGGGAGAATGATCTCGTTCTCTTTGATGGCTTCGTAGATGTCCTGCAGCAGTTCCGGCGAAAAGTCCTTTCCTGCGTTGACCCCCCGCAGGTTTCTCGCAAAATCCTCATACGACATCCGCTTCTGTGTCTTCGCAACGTTGGGATTGTAAAGATCGGTGTTCAGCATGATAATCGCATAGGCCAGGACGAAGGCGGCATCCTTGTCTGCGATCTCCTCGGGTGAGACGGTTCTGCAGTACTTTTCGGTAAAATTGTTGACGATTCGTTCGATAAGTGCCGCCTCTCCAGGAAGGCGGAAAGATCCTAATACTTCCCGAAGAGCCTCATCAATGCGTTTGTCCTCAAAATCAAACAGCCCGATGAATGCTACCAGCAGCGGTTCATTGGATTTCTTGGTGATAAACTCTCCCAGCACTTTTTTGGAGACGTGAGAGGTGCCTTTCAAAAACTGAGCCACCTGAAAAGGATCATCTGGATTCTCTATGATGCCGTTCCTTACCAGATATGCCACTCCTGCTTTGGGATCGTCGTTGAACTTGGATGCACCACTTTTGATGATCTTTTTCCTCGCTCGTTGCAGACGCAGCTTGTCTATCCGTTCTCGTGCCCATGTTGGCGTTTCGTGGACAAGCCTTTCGGCCATGAATTGGATGAAGCTCAACAACGAATCCAGACATAGTGGAGGCACATTGGTAGTGCTCCAAGTGGCAGAATCTGGGAAGGCATTCCGCGACAAAAGTCCCACCATATCTTCACAAAGGTCCTGCCGGTCGACTTCGCAGTCATAGTTCAGAAAAAGTTCCACCATGAATCCAGGGATGCGGACCAAGGTGCCAATGCTTTCAACCATCGCTTCTCTGGCCTCCGGCCTTCGAGTACCGCCTTCCAGTCCCAGCTTCTGCCTGTCCTTGATTGGCACCGGGGTTGACCGACCGCTGCTCGGCTGCGACGGTGCTGGTTTCACCAGTTTGGGAGATTGAGGTACCCCCTCATACAACGACGGATCAATTCCTGGCTCCTGGGGGATATCTACACGGGGATGCAGACAAGCCACCAAGTATGAAAGGAACAGCTCTTGCTGCAGCTTAAGCAGCCGTCGACATGTGGCCAGCAATGTCCCGGCGACACGTAAAGAGCTGTTCAGAAGGACCATATTATCCGATCGAACGAGTTGGAATAAATGGCGGCAAAGGTCATCCTGGACTAGTGCTGCCAAAACAGGCTGTTTCGCTATTGAAGGCCCCGAAACCTCGAGGGCGACGTCAATGATTCTGAGGGCCATGATGCGCATTGCATCTGTATGTGTTTTGTCGTGAGGATCAAGGAGATCAATGAGGACGCGAAAGAGCTCTTTGATTGATGGTAGGGCGTATGGTTCCACGTTGTCAAACTCATCTTCCTTCGCTGGCGCGGCCGTATTCTGCGGTTCCGTGGAAACCTTGGATCCAGTACCGCCTTCCACACTCGTTCGTCCGTCAACGTCAACGCTTGGTCGTTCTGGCTCACCATTTCCCATGACGCTGCCTGTCATGGGGGGTTCAATCTTCAGTTCTTCGGTAGCGCTAAGCAGAGTTGTTCTCGTATTCGACCGACTCCTTGACTTTGGTATCTCTTCCACCTTTAACGACTTCAATCTGCTAAACACCACTTGACACATGGTGACCATGGCCATCTCGGCAGACCTCCTAAGGACCTCCGAAAGCCTCGACTGACAGCACATGCTTAAACCGGTACTCATCATCTCGCAGATACTCTCGTCACCGAGCAGCTGGCCTTCCGGTCTGGATATGATCAACTCCATGAGCCTCAGGATACGCAGCAGGACGACCTCATCCGCCGCGGTGTCACTGGCTTCGAATCGGCAGTGGGTGATGGCCGCACTGAGAAGGTGCATCCCCTGCGAGATTC